TATATGAAATGGCACATTAATGCGGTTTAAAATTTTGTAGCAGTTGGTCTTCAACACAAAACTAAAGCGGTGTAATACAATGATGACCTCAAAAACAAATGCTAGATGACCAGTTTGGCACTACACTTGACAATAAAAACATTTTTCCTCTCTCAGTTGTGTGCCCTGCATTACACATTTAAAAGGATTATCTGCACGCATGGTGATTATCCAGCAATTACAGAGACACCGCATAATGTTACTAAATCTGCTCAAATCAACAACATGTCTCGAAAGTTTATTTATTTAGTGAAAACATTTCTGATCATTAATGAAGAAAATGAAGGCCATATGTCACTTTCCTGAACCTCACACTAAAGATTACAATGCCTGCGGCATACTGGTGCATTGCTAGAAAGCTTTGTATTCTAGACAATTTAGGAAGAAATTGTCGAGGACCTTGTTGGTCCCTAATTTCTGGTGCCTTTGTCATAAGGTGTAGTTCTTAGAAAAAAAAAGGCCAAGCTAATGCTGAATGAAAACAGCTATGGGGGGCATGTACCTGATAGGCTGGTTGATGCACAGTGTATCATGGATAAAATGCTGCTCGAAATGAAATGAGACGCAGACATTGAGCTGTGCCTGCCTTCACCTCGTCTCATCTTAAGCACTGTTTTTTTTCCTCAACTATCCGAGGGAATCAGCCAAAATTATCGCATCAGTGTAGTGCAAGGTTTTTGGATTTGTCAGCAGCACAGCTACGAGGTCTGCGACAATGTCCCATAAACCACTTTCATGCTCGCATTCGCACAATGCCCCCACTTACTCTGGCCAGAGCTTAAAAAGATGCTGAGACACACTATGACAATGCGACCAAATGCATGTTTTCGACTATTGCACGGCGCAAATAGCCCTATATTTTGTGTCCTGCTCAAATGGTTAGGTAACTTGAAAAACTTAGACACTGCTCAGCAGAAGTTGCAAAGAAAGAATATTTTCATGTTGTGCTGCTTCGGCCTTCGTACAATGACTCGAAAAAAAAAAAAAAAAACATTCAAAGGGTACTATTTCTGCAAGCCTTTCTTAAGACACTCAGTTTACTACATTGACACTACACTTACAACAGGGGCATCACACGCATCAAATATTCAACAGTACAGAAAGAGGTAAACAGAAATTCCGGGTAGCAAGCAAAATTATGCAAATTAGAATGTAGACCTAAATACTTCTTTCATGAAAGACCAATCTGTAAAAAGATCTTTAGATAGCTATATCCTAGTGTGCTCAATGATGATGCTGCATCATAAACTCCACAATTATTGGTACAAAATGCTCATACAAGTATACAATATGCAACATGATTGTCCGAAGTCAGTGGAGTGAATTAATGTAAAGTACAGTCAAACCAAGTTGCATCTTACACTAAAATAAGTTCGCTATATCGGAAAATTCGTTATAAAGATTTATTCCTAACACTATATCTATTGCAAGACTATTTTTTCTTACTTCGTAATTAGTATTATTTTGTCATATCTGTTTTCATTATATCAAGGTTTGAATGAACTTAAAAATGATGAATGACACATGAAAAAAAAAATATGAGTAAAATGCATCATTATGTCTGACTTGTCAAGGCTTAGTTCTTCTAGCTAGGGTATGCAAGACAATGTATGCAGCTGCTGGCCCTTTGGCAAATAGGTTTGCATATATTTATCTTTATATATATATATATCTCTCTCTCTCTCACTCTCTCTCTCTCTCTCTCTCTCTCTCTCTCTCTATATATATATATATATATATATATATATATATATATATATATATATATATATATATATATATATATATATATATATATATTGTGTGTTGTATGCGAGTCCGAAGGAATAGTATACAGAAGATATAGTCCCGTCGCTCCCTCAAAAGCAGAAATAAAAATAATCAGAAGCAGAACGTATCACAAAGCACACTTTTGACTCACACAAGTCCCATCTCACATTAAATGCTGCCTCTGATAACAGTAGCTACTCATAACTTAAACCAGACAACAGAATTTGATTACAGGAGCTAACACATGCATGGAAGAATGATCACTACAACCATAGATGACATAAATGCACATTAAAGTGCCTGGCTGCTTTTCCAATATGAATAATTTAAAATAACATCAAATGTACCAGATGTTGCCGAAGTTAACCTGGCCGCAGGATGAGTGGAAGAAGAATGAACATGAGCCAAACACATGAAAATGAAAGTGTTTGCTGAATACGTAAGCTTTTTTTTTTTTTCATTCGTCACCCTACGTTAGGCCATTGCCTGGGCAATGCAAAAGAGTAACTCAACAAATTGTTGGGCTCGTTTATGAGATGGAGACACTAGAAAACACATTACTGCCAAAGCCTTTCATAAGAGACATTGATGTAACAGAGAATAAGCTATGAGAGACAACAGTGTGCCTACATTGAAATACAGGCTGACAAAAAAATGCAAACATGATACCTTGCTAATAAGAGACAACTCAAATACAGGATAATTGCTTCCCTGTGCATGTTTCTTATAAAGGGGTGCAACTATTGCCGAATGAGGATGTCACCATTTCCGTAACGAGAGTGTTCCGTCACCGGGGTAGTCATCATGAGCAATGTCATGGATTCAGCAGTACTAGCAGAGTGTATAGTCGTCATGAAGCACTTGCACGACCAATGGCGAGCCCATAACAGCTGCCTTGTTATGCTCTGTCAATGACCATTTTCCTCTTATAAGAAGAGAAACCACCTAATGTCACGAGAGGCTCCTGAAAAACTAGGTCCACAACCTTCACAATAAAAAGTATTTACTAGCCATTCTTATCATATCTTCCTGCCTTTCATCACGACGAATTCTGTGCAGTCATCCCTGGGACTAAGAATTCGGCACGCCAAATGATGAGAAAATAACAGGAAATATCGAGCAATGCCACAATGTACAAGCTCTGGGTTGCTCTCTTAAGAAGTTTAGCAAGGTCATATTGTACCAACATACTCAAAATTTGAACAAATTAGCATACCTCTGAAGCTTACAAATTGTTTAGATGCCGCTTTCAAGCATTATAGAATCACTTCAATTAAAAATGCCCAAGCTCAGCGTTGAAGGGACACTAAAGAGAAAACCAGTTTTTCACAAATAGATTACTCACACACAATTCTAAACTTATCGTGCTAACTGTGAGAAGATGCTTGATAAGCAAGAAAATACTAAAAAAGAAGCTGGTGGCAGCACCATATTGAACTTTCTGTACCAATCACAGTGCTGTCATGTATTTCAACTACTAAGACCAGGGTGTCTACCGATTTTATTTTTTCCAAATTTCCCCGACTTTTCCTGGTATTCCATGATGGTTCTGAGTACATTCCCTGACGAGGAGGCCTGCTTGGAAAACTGTTCGTCATCACAGCCAAGAACGCAAAATACAGGACAGTCCCAACACACAGGACATAGCGCTGTTTCACTGCCCTCGTGTAATGTGAACGAACCAAACAACCGACTTGACAGGGAGCCTTGTGACTATATGTGCACAGGAAACGAGCTCTCAAATGGCAAGGAAAAAAAATTAAAAAGGTGCTTGCACAAACATGATTTCATTGATATGTGGGGTTTAACGTCCCAAAACCACTATATGATTATGAGAGACGCCGTAGTGGAGGGCTCCAGAAATTTAGACCACCTGGGGTTCTTTAACGTGCACCCAAATCTGAGCACACGGGCCTACAACATTTCCGCCTCCACCGGAAATGCAGCCGCCGCAGCCGGGATTCGAACCCGCGCCCTGCGGGTCAGCAGCCGAGTACCTTAGCCACTAGACCACCGCGGCGGGGCACTTGCACAAACAGCAGGCAGAACTCGATGTGTATCTTTGTATAGCTACTACGTGAGCTTGACCCGGCCGGCGAGCCTTATTACAATATACTACTTCTGCCGAACCAGAATGCCTTAATGAGCTCGACTGACAGCAACGACGAACGAACACAAATTTATGGGCCTTAGTAACACCATGCCTTGGAATTATAATATGTTATGTGATCTAAAACGCATGAAATATTCTTTTCTTATTGTTTGTACTTCATCGATTACTCAAGCTGCAGAAATAGAGATAGTTCATAAGCTTTAATCAAGTGTGAAGATTCTTTTCATGAGAGTCGCGCAGGCTGCTATCAGTAAGTTTTTATGCCCCACCCTAGTTTTTGAAATACTCCTCAAGGATCCCCCGACTTTTCCGGACATACTTAGTAACATTAATTTCCCAGTGTTGCGAACGAATTTGTATGCGTGAGGAGAGATCGTATGGAAAATGCTAGCTAATATAAGAAGATCTGAAGAATATCTCATAGCTCCTCGTTCTTTAAGTAGAAGGCGCAACTGTTCCTTCAGAAACTCGAACGCTTCTACTTAAATTCCCCGGCTATTCCAGGTTTTGCAGCTTGGTAGACACCCTGAAGACATACGTAGCCTATCTAGTAGAAAATGAAGCACAGTGTCCTCTGAGGATGCCATAGACTTCACAGTTTTGTTGAGGCAACGTCACTCAAATATATAAAAATACATTTTGAAATCCCTGATGTCACCTACGGAGATGTTGATGGTAAATTATAAAATGAGACTTTGACATTGATTTTATTCACTACACTATTAAGGCTATGATGAAAAAATTAAGGACGTTAAGTTTTTGTAATGAAGTTTATCAGTCTAACCAAATCCATTGTTTCACACTAATGTCCCAATAAGCTCCCTACTATGTTGCGATCACAGTAAAATTTTGAGCAAGAGTCCCACCCGAGAACGCCTCCCCCCCCCCCCCTTCTAATTGCACTACTAACTTCAAATTTCTGTGCCATACTGGAAAAGCATCCCCCACACCCCTCATGACCTCTGTTAATAAACAAACAAGTCCAGGCAACATTAACTCGCTTGAATCCCGTCCAAGCCAGTACTGCTTAGTAGCCCAATTTTCAACCACCTCCACTTGAAATTTGTTTTCAAAATTATTTTTTTTTCTGTCCTATAAAACGATGGCACCCCTAACTTGGCCCACAACCTTCATTAGGATCTTTACATTTCTGGGAGAAAGAGCATCGAATTAAAGATCTGTACTTCCAACTCAACAATAGAACTTTATAATGCAATTAGTAAGCAAAAGTTAACTCTCTCAGATCTGTGTCTGCTGCCCAGAGTTGTTGCATAGATGTGGGCTCATTGTCAAAGGTGCTTCTGCACCCGGCTTTCCGCATTCTGATCGTATTTCCTTAGTGTTTCATGTGTTTGTTTGTTGACGTTTTAATGCACCACGCCATGAACAGGAGTCTTAGGACTTCTTAGGAAGTCCATGCCCATTTGAGCATTTTTTTTTGATAAACAAAAAACCTTGCTTTCATCATCTTCCATTTTGGTGCCATTCTTGTCAACCACCCCTGTCCCCCTTGACTGACTTTGCTAATATTAAGACTGGCGGAAGAAGGGTTTGCTTGCTTGAAATTTGCCAGTATGTGCAAATTTAAACCTGATTGTTCTAAATTAGCCACAATAATTTACTATTTTTTACTGTTTCTAACCATTTTGCACATAAATATTTCACACATTCTATGGCACTCGGCTCTTACTTTTGATAACTTGCTAAAATGCAACAGTAATGTGTGACATTCCTTAGCTTATGCATGTGGTCACTGCAAACCTGAGTAACACCTAAACTTTCTCAAAGAGTACTCCAGAACATTATGAACACAAGGCACTTTGTGACTATGTTGCACTCACTTTCAAACCCACGGTCAAAGCCCAGGCAAGTTGATGATTTCGAGAACGGTGCACGAAACACCTCCCAACATAAAAAGCTGCACTTGGGGTGTTGTGTCCTTCTTGCGATACGCTTGCTGTTTGTTGTGTTCAAACTAAATTCACGGGAACACAGAACCCGCAACTTGACTGCTGATACGGCCCAGTCTTGAACCCACACTCACCACAAAGATGAGGATTTGCCGCCAATGTCATTGTCACCGGACATGTCAATTGAATATGAGTGCTTCTGATTGCAATGCTCCAAATAAACTAAACAAATGTGCTGCCACTGCTTAATGATGATAAATGAAGAGTAAAACTTGTGTCATGCAGCACAATCTTGTGTAGATCTCGTTCTGTACAGAGCACAAAATGCTGACCAGCCAAACATACCACCAGGCTTAGCCAACTGCTTAGAATCAACCTTGTGTTTCAAACCCGAACGGGAATCGTGATTGGCACGTCTGCACAGCAGGTTGTAAAACGTTGACCACATCCGTTGCCATCAGTAAAAGCAAGTAGTCTCGACGAAATTCAACAATGAAGCAGTCTTTGAGATCTTGATTAGTGTCACAGCTTCTTGGCGGTTGACATATCTCCGGCATCTGGCGATACTGGCGTACCAAGGAGGGCTATACTTGCTGCGATGGTGCCTTCCTCGGCAGATGCCACTGCATCGCCACAGTTCGATGGCGGAAAAGATTGTTGACGCTTGCCGGTGGCAACACTGGCCTGGGTCGGCCCAAGGCTGTCGCTCGGCCGAGCCATAAATTGCAAACACAACACCGCCAACGAAACTAACAGAGGCTGCAAGGTAGAAGATGTGTGTCCACTGCGTCACTTTATCACTTTTCTGAAAAAAAGAGAAATGAAGGAGTGATTATGTTATTAGCCCTTTGAAACGCAGCACTTTCATTTGTAGATGTAACTTTTGCTATTGCTGTGCACCACTGGCACGGGCGAGACCACTAACACTGAACTAATACTAGTGAATTATAAGGGTGAGCGAATGTTCGAAATTGTGAACATATTTTTCGAATTGTGCTTTCGATACCATTTGCGCTGAGATTACACTACTCCATCTACTTGAACTTCCCGAAGACAAAAATACAGTCTCTGATTGACAGTGGCCCCTCCAGATTTTTATTACCCTTCATTCTATCACACTATCGCGTTGCGACAAAGCTGCCTTTTAGGCCCTCCTAAAGTCGCAAATGCATTGACTCAAGAAAACGCTGGTTCTAACACGGTGGTAATAGACATGGCAGAGGCTGGGGCTCAATTAATGATGTTCTGGACCTTGTGTGTGAGCAGAAAGTCGGATAAATTGGACGGCCAAGATTTCCAACAGAAAAATTTCGAATGTACGTTTATATACTCCATAGTGGTGTCGAAGGAAGCACACCTTGTCCACCACATCAGTTGGGGTCCCACAGAAGTGGAAAGAGGAGAGGCTGAGGAAACAGGCATCTTTGCCTTATAGTTGTAAGGTGTTATCAGCAATACATTGATTGTGCCAGTTCATGTACGCAAGTACGATAACTCCCCTGCAATGCCTCATTCTCGCTAAGACAATTGTGAAACATCACCGTGCCGGCACTTCATTAACGTATCCAGAAGAAAAACTTTCATGTTTCCATCTCACAACCACATAATGAAGAATCTTCCGCAACTTTTCTCCTGCAATACTGCTTCAAAGTACAGTCGAAACCTGCAATAACAAAATCGGCGGGGAAACCGAAAAATTTCGTTTTTGCGAGAATTCCGTTGTGCCGAGTATGAGACATAAAAACAGTGATACAGCCAGCAGAACGAAAATTTATTGCCAGAAGTCGGTCAACTTACTTTGCCGACCCTTGCCATGCAACAACTTCAAAGCTCTCCCTTCGCACTGGAAAAAGTGGTCCATTGCTATGTCGTCCTCATGTGCGCCGAAGAAGGAGCGAAGGGTGCCCAGCGCATCCAAAACAACCCGCAGGTTGTTTGGAGTGTGGCCACTCGTAGTAATCTGACCGTGCCGTGGCTTACAGCTTCGTTGCTTGCTACGAAGCACGTCGCCACGAGTGCGCTAGCGCATCTTTCCTGCCCGCAGTCGCGCTGTCGGTAAAGTGAGGGCTAAAGACAACTCCGATGACACGCCGCGCTCGTAGTACCCTGATCGCGCATCCGCCTAATGCTCCTAACCAAAGCGTAATTATATCTTAAGTGATCATCGAGTCGTGAACACGACACGAAGTAGCAATTTTCGAGAGCCATGTCCTCGCGACGCACAAGGAGCAGACGAAGATCTCCCGGAGCGAGCATCGGGCCAATGGGGAGTCGAGCTGAGGCAACATGGCGGCCACAGCCAATCAAAGGCCTCGAAACGACCTTCAAACATTTGCTTTTTGTGCACTTGTTTTTAAAGGAAGGAGCCAGCTGAGGCGGGAAAGTTAAACACGAAGAAATGCTCTTTCCGATGAGCCTAAGAATCGCTGTTTTCTCGCGATTTCCAGAAAATGTTCCGCTATTTAGGTGGGTGAAATGAATTTCCCGAAGCACTTCTGCGCGGTTTTCAGTGTATATATTATAGAATCAGATAGAAAAAAAGTTCCAGAAACAGAAAACTTGATTAAAAAAAAACCGATTTTTTTGCCATTTTTCGCGATCCCAAAGCCGCGTGCCCCCTGATGTAAACAAAAATGGCAGGTACCCACGCTAGCGCGTGCAAAAGCAGACCTTTCTAAATTTTGAGGGCGCATAACACGCATACGAACATATTTTCGACAGTTAATTAACCTTTGGCGGGAGGGTAAAAGTAAGGCTCGCACCATGGTAGAAAATTCGTTAATGCGGGATCGCTGTCCAAAAACACTTCGTTGCTGCGAGATACGTAATACATGGGCTTCTATGAATGTTCGCCGGCGATTCGGAAATATTTCGTTGCCGCGGGGATTTCATACTCGAGGGGTTTCGTTGTTGCGGGTTTCGACTGTATTGCAAAAATATTATTTGAGAAGTATTCAAGAAATATTTTAAAATATTGTCAGATTCACACTCACACTTCAGTACTTGAATTCGCTTTGTACCCAAAATTTTGCTATTCGCTCAGCTCTTTAAGCATTGTTGTTGCCAAAGGTTTCTCTTTATCCCTTGTGAATGAAATAATTTCTACAAATGAACACTGTGATGAGGACAGTACTGTCTTTAACGAGTCTTTGAATATGATGCACCTAGACAAAAATTTCAAAATATTTTTGTTAGCGCTTTGGTAATGCTCATTACCAGCACATAGCTATCGCATCTGATTTGAGTAGGTTGTTAATTTAGCTTATGCACTTCCCAAAACATTTTCAATAATATTTCTAAAAAAAGAGATACACTGATTTTTAATCCAAATGGTTAAACGTAAGGCGAGGTAACAAGAGCTCTGGAAAGGAAAGAGCATTGCCTATTTTGATGTTCTTTGCTCTCCTTCACTGCTGATAGCCAAGGTTGTTAGCAACAGACTCACCGCAGAGGACGACAGGAGACCAGCAACCAAAGGAGCCAGCACTCCTGTGGTCTGTCCAAATGTTGTTATCATCCCATTAAGGGTAGCTGCATGGAAGAAGTTGGCGAGAAGTTGCAAGTGACTATGCTGCTAAAGTTTTGAAATGTTAATGGGACACTAAAGGCAAATAACAATTTATGTCAGAGTGCAAGATCAATGTCTGCAAATGTCTAAATTGTCGATACAGTAGATCCTTGATATATAAAATTTAGATATATCAAATTATTGGCTATATCAAACAGTTGAGAAATCCAGTTGAACTTCCCAGGCAGAATTAGGGGACCGGTGCACTCGTATATCGAACTCATGCACAGAGGGACATCCATTATATCAAATGCTGCACCGCACTGAAACCCAGAAAGTGCATTTTTCCTAGCAAATATTGATCAATTATCGGCCGCATTCTAACCAGTTCCGATTCATTTCCGCATGCAGGTGACGAAAAGGCAGTGTTATTCCACCATTTGGTTTGTTGCGTGGCGCTTGCGAGCACAGTTCGATGTGGGATCTACAGGTCTTAACGCATGAGCGTAGTGTTTTTCAAAAAGACCGATTGTCGAGGACACCAATATGAGAATGCGAAGTCAATATGAGAATGCGAAGTGACTCAGCGATCTCGTTGCAATGTTCGCGCTCCCTTCCATGTTTGTTGGCATGTGATGGGCAAGCGAGCCTGAAAAGCATGGTCTCAGAAATGTGCAACCTCGTGACGTATTTTTACTGTTCTCGGTTTTAAAGGCCTGTCTCGGGGGCTGTGCTTTTTTTAGCTTTTCACATCAAAGCAGCTGAAAGCAGCAGCTACTGGCTATGAAGCCACAATTGACATCGATATTGCTAAGATGTCAATGGTGGGAACTCGGCATTGTTGTTTGCGACGTGTGGACTTACGTACTTCTTGCCTTGTTCCTGATAAATCCACATACGGGAGTCGAATAGTTGACCCACAAGTAGCAATAAAAATCATGATTTACACTTGGAGTGACAAGAAGTAAAGCAACCTCGTCAACTTTCATTGGAGGCTAGGTGATGACTTCAGCTGCATCATGGCAGCTGACAACGGCATGCGGTGCCTCAATGAATTGTGCGACTTATCAGCGTTTCTGGGCCCCATCTTGGACAATGAGCAAATTCAGTGGTGCAAATGACGACAAAGCTGTTTCTGACTGCGTCAATGCTGAGATCATGGCAGCCGTTGCCACGGAAGTGTACTTGTGCAGTTGTGAACATGCCAACGCCTTCGCTGCTGCCGCTAACCAACCTTTTGCCGCGCTACAAAGCTGGCATCGGCGTTCTGCGTCAATCAACGCTGTTGTGGCCAAAGGAGCTGAATCCACTTATTTGAAAAGCTTCAATGATATTAAACATGACTGGAGCTTGACGGCGCGCAAGAAGTAAGACAAGTTTATTGTCATGCGAAATGAAGTGCGGTAACTTGCAGTTCACACCTGGTTCTTCATTACACTTTGAGGGAATCGTTATGTTAGCACTTGTAGCAATTTCCGAGGCTTGAAATGGTTTTTTTAGGCCTCAAATGCACATATTCTGTATTTAGAATTATAGATATATCAAATTATTCGAGACCCCCTTCGAGTGTGATATATCTGGGATCGACTGTATGATCAACAACAGTGCTCTACTAATAGAGAAATCAAGGTGAATGTATGACACCATATGCGCCGCTGTCACGAGCAAGAGCCCATAGCAAGAGAGAAGACTATGAGGAGTGGCGCAAGATTTGAAACGGCACAAATTCACGCACCATAACGCGAAGACAAAGGTGCGTGGCCCTAGCTGTGATCGGGATGCAAGCTATGATGAGCTGGTATTGTCAGCGTGGGCTTGCAAGGAGAAGGTCATCTCAACAGCAAGTGCACTGGTGATGAGAACGAGAGGACATCGACTTGGCAACGTGCGACGCAGGCGTCCCGAGAGATGAACGGAGACCTCGACCTGCTTCAAGGGAAGCTGCTCGGAGAGCACCAACCGCTCGTAGCAAGTGCCAATGTTCTTGGCGCAAGCCCCTTTTGAAGCAAGCCAACAAAGACAGGCCCAGGTGGGCTACGTCAGCTCGCACTAACTAACGCGTACTTCCGAAAGCCGCTAGGCCTGACAATCGAGACATCTGCCACGTCACCAACATCAGGCGATGACGACGCCAGGCGACCACATCAACAGTGGCAGGGACAGCGACGTTCGTAGATAACGTCGAGAACCCCGACAGGCACCTGACACGAGAGATCAGTAAATTAATAAGAAGCGTGTGTGCTGTGACAAGTAATGTCGAGCAGGAGCATTAAGGCTATAGAGTTTCTGGGTGATATTTGGGACAGTTTAGTCTGTATGGGGGTTTGTTTGTAGGTTAGTTGTAATTTAGTTGGGAGTTATTACTAGTTGTTTTGTACATTTGGCTATATCTTTAAGTGCCGTGAGTGTTTATTACATGGGTTTTGTTGTTAAATCAGTCTCAGTCTATCGCCCGCAGCCTCCCGTAAGTCATGACAGCCACGAGTGGGACATTTCTCAAATGATCCCAATGATGTGAGGACTACCATTATTACTGGTAATCAAACAAGCTGCAGCAAAAACAAAAATTCCATGCATTAAAACACATAATAAAATGCTGCTTGTCAGTTTCTGTTTGATTTATAAAAAAAGAACCACCTGGCATTACCATGAGGAATGGCGTGATTGGTTCAGAAGTTTTGTTTTCACCTAGTTACGCTGGATAGGTGGTGTCATTCAGCGGGGCCCAGTTGAACCAAACAAGCAGAAAATTGTTCAATGGCTGTTGCTGCTGTGGCCTCTGGTACTTTAACCCGGGAGTTGCTAATATTGGCGGTCGAACAGTAAGGGCGGGCAACATTGGGAGATAGCAGTGATGTCAGAAATACCACTTTCAGGCCAGTGATTTGAAGTGCACTAACGCGATGCGAACCACCTAAACACGATTTTACTTCAAAATAAGCATTTCCTTAGCACAAAAGTAGCACTACGACGTTTCTGGACCGCTATTTAAACAATCAACGTCAACTTTATATTTGCCTTTAGTGTCTCTTTAAATATGGTGATACAGTCGAATCTGCATACAATTAAACCTTCCTATAACGAACCTCCATATATTAAATTTCTCGATATAAGGAAGTTTTTTCATTTCTCGCCGTTACTCCATAAAAGCATATGTATTTGCAACCTCTATGCAACAAAGTAACAGCAGGAGACATCCTTGGTATAACGAATTTTCGCTACAGACAATCTAGGAATTTTGCCACAGATCTTGTCATTTTGGCACCAGCATGCATTTTCCGCAGTTGCCCAACCACCAACAAAGTGCAAAGTGGAGGCAGCGTGCACGGCACTCCCAGACCTGTGCCTCACGAGCCGGCGTTACTGCCATTCTTGCCGCCATGTGCGCATGCGCAGATGTACCATTCCCCTCTCCAAACCAAACAAAAAAATAAATGTACTTTTGGGTTGGCAGTGCCACTCCTTTAGTTAGCATCACATATATAAGGCTGAGCAGCATACAAAGGGCGCTTTACTGAATAGTTTTCCACGCCATGCGCATGCATGCATTCAACGTGCACGCTTGGTGTGGCCCTTGAAGACGTTCAGGTTCTTTTTTTTCTTTTAAACTCTGACAGCTGTGTCGTCACCATCGAGGGTATGTCAGATTAGGCGCCAATGGAAACTCTCTGACACCATGGTGAAAATGACGGATCTTTGGAGGTCGACTCGTAACGCGCTTCCGTCTTGCGCCGCGAGTTGGCGGGACTGTAGTGTTCGCGATTAGCTCTGAAGCAACATGACGGCACGTTGAATGCGATAAAATGAAAGCGATAGCAATTAACTGTAGCGTTATATGAAGTAAGGCTGGCAGCCAACTCTTTTGCATCTGATATCGCCGAACTCCCACAAAACGGTGTAAGCAAATACGGCCTTTAGTACATGTACAGCATTGCCTGTGTATTTGAATTAAGCGCCTTTTTTGATCGCTTTTCTATCTCAGCATGTGCTGCCACACTTAGAGAATATATGTAAATTTTTTTACGCACTGACATTTTTCCTTTGTATTTTTTTGCTTTCCAAAGCAGTGCACTAGCTTATCGCTTGCACGTCCAAGCTCGTAAGAGGAGTGGCTGGGTTAAAACGCACCTTTTTCAATCCTATCTCTTGCTTGGCATGTGCTTCCACACTTTGACATATGACATTTATTCATGCGCTGATGTCCTTCTGTTCCCTTTTTTGCTTTGTAAAGCGTCGCATCGGCTCTCACTTGCACATTCGAACGCACGTATGCAACCCAGTTGGTTCTCATTTCGTCTTTCATATGGTTACTGCTTCTCACTCCCACAATGCTTATGGCTGTCTGCTTTCTAATTTCTCAAAGGGCAACTGCTTGTGACTTTCTCACTTATTGCACTCCTGAGCGCAATTACATCAGTTTCCGTTCAGCACTAAACTACACAAATTATGCCGCCGTGGTTGTGTTTCTTGTTTTGGGAACTCAGAAAAACTAGCTCCGTGTCGTTGGCAATAAGAAGAAGCACTATTACAATTTTCTCACTCATTTTGCCTTTTGGACAGACACACAACCACACAGTTTTCTATCATGAGGTCGCTCACACAGTTCACTTATGCTACAGAAGTGCGCTCCGGTTGCTCTGGGGCTAAGAAGTCAAGTGGCAATTCTACCATTGTGAACTATTGCCCAAGGCCGAATAAGAATCTCATTCATGAAATGTCAGTTCACCCGGCGAGACTCGGATGACGGCGAAAGAGCGACATCTGGAGAGCATGCGTGGTGAGACAGTCTGGATCGAATCAGATGATTTTGTGTTATGTTTAGTGTAAGAGCAAAAACATTTTTACCGGAAAAGTACTCTGGCGAGCTTATTTTTATATGCATGTCTATGAGCTATATTTAATAATAATATTTATTGCATATTTATTGCATAATATTTATTTATAAAAAGTGGTATCAGTGTTGTTTTTTAGGATTTTGTTTGATGTTACTACAGTCAAGAGTCCGACGGAATACCATCTGGTCGGGAACAAACATAGTGCAAAATAATAAAAACGCCGACCAAGCTAAAATTTTTCTCAGTGTAGTATATAAAATTCCTTGCAAAGACTGTGAATACAAATATATTGGCGAGACAGACAGTTGCAAAAGAAGGCTCCGGGAACATTTTAATGACGTTAGGAACAAGAAAGTGGCTTCTAATGCCCTCACAGAACATGTTGCGTCTACTCGACTGGAATAAAACCTGCATCGTTGCTACAGACAGAAAGTTGTTACCATGATTGCACTTGGAATCCCTGGCCATCCAAACTACTGCGCATGGGCTGAACAGAAATATCGAGACACTTCCCCCTGTGCACGCGCAATGTCTGCAACACGTGATGAAACGTGCATAAGAAGAGCGCACTATGCCATTTGAGGTCACTGTGAACAAGGCTCCTGTGTGGAGAGCGGAAACATCTTTTAATTTTTGTGTATTTTACCTTGCTCGGTGTTTTGTTATTTTGCATTGATGTTACTATGAATAAAACGTGTATGTAACAACAAAAATGATTTTTTTTTTTTTTCAAACTGCAGTAATGAGAAGAAATTTCAGAAAATTTTGTTTGAAATATAATTTTCTGAATGTTTTATGTCAACAATAAAAAAGCACACACTTTTGGACTGCATTTCATGAAAAAATTAGACTCTCAAAGGGTTAGCAATCACTCTGGCAAAAACCTTCTTTGTGTTGTGACACAACGCTTGCTGCCTGCTCATGAGTTAATTAAACCACCTTTGCTAAGAACTGACACCGCTTTACTGCGGCATGGTACCACCATGCAGAGCTATTCATCCAGTCGCACACCTACATGGCTCATGCCGCCACTACTGAGCCACCAGCTCTATATGAGTGTGTAAGTTTCTACGTCCTTCATGCCTCCTTCACTGCACACCGTGCATGGGTGCGGCAAGTAGCCCGTGTGTTTAACGCAGCTGGCACAAGCATTTTGTGAGCAACGCGCACTCTAGGTCCCATGACACTTTGCAGTCTAGAACAACGATGTACGGCACACTTCAGTAGTCACTGAATGAAACACGCCACATACACTCTCTGTCAGGGCATCGGCGTTACTTGGTGTTCGCGCCGCCCAACAACTTTGAGCTACTTTCATTCTAAAAGAGAGGGCATGCAAATTAGCTCCACTCTCTGCTCTGTACTTTTTTTGTTCATACAAAGCGACATGCATTTCGAAGCGGTGTCGTACAATGCGGCAGTGGTGCGACTCCGAACGGCAACATGGTGCGCTTGTACCACAGTAAATCAGGGGTTTACACCGCGGTCTCAGTCAGCAGATAGCTGCAGATGACTGTCATAAAATCCTTAGTGATGAGAAATAAATGCACCTCATCGTTGACTGCGGCCTCACCACCTTTTTCCTAATGTTTATCTGTGAAGACATCACCGTAATCGTGTGAAAGTCGAAATCACTGATAGACCGATATCTGCCATTGTCGAAAAGATGGAAGACGGTTTGCTGCACACGATTTGCGACTCCAATAAGTTGAGGGACGTTGTGAAGTTTTTATGCGACAAAGATTCATTATACAGTCGCCGACCGATTTTTCGGACCTGGCGGGGACCGAAAAAAAGTACGAAAAATCGAACAGTCCGAAAAATTCGTTTTCGCCAAAAATCTGAAGTTTATTGCATCAGGCAGGTTTTAAAAAGTCCTTGATGCTGCCTTGCCTCAAACTACGCTTGGAGGCAATTTGGTTTACCCGTATTTGCGCCAAGGTGACATCGTCGCCGTAAATGCTCGACAAAATTGTCACCGCGTTGGCGATCTCCGCCGCCGACGGCTGCGGGCGGTCGTCGTTGTCGTCATCCGAGCCGCTCTCAGGCTCCGGGACAACCTGGCGAAGAATTTCGTCGTCAGTGGCCTCCGCGCACGAAACAATGTCGTCGTCCGCACGAGTGAAGTCTTTAAATGTCATTGTGGCAGGTAGAGAATCCTTCTTTCGCCTCCTCCCCGTGCGATGTGATGACGATAGTGCTGACCGAAGACGAAAAAACGGCATCCGTCACCGCGTCTTTTAAAAAGCAAACACGGCCTCCGAAACTTAAAATATGGCGTGCGCATTCCAATCTCGGAGGCAGGAAAGGCATCTGAAGACCAAGCTTAGCCAAGCCGACGGAAAATCCAACTTGGCGGCGTTCACAATGGCTTGAGGCGTGGCACAAAACGAGCGATTTAGTCCGAAAAATCGAACTTTCAGGGGCAAGTCCGCCCGAAAAATCGGTCGAAACAATGCATTAGCTCTATGGGATCCCTGACGGTGCATTTATGAAGTCCAGAATATCCAACAAGTCCGAATTTTTGGAGTCCGAAAAAACTGTAATCATTGGATCTTGCAGTTGTGGCTGCGTGCATACCAACGCATTGTTTTGATTCAATGTAGATGGTAGTAGTCGTAGAGAATAGCAGCAGGAAGTGTTGCAGCACGAGCTGGCCAAAAGGCGAAGTGCAGCATTCTATTATTTTTTTTCGTTTTTACTCACTTCCGTCCTGCCATTGAACGAATGCCTAGAAAGTCAGCGACCTCGCATCTGACATCTGCATGCAGTGCTTCACAATATAAGACATCCTCGTTACAAGTTCACTACAACTTGCACATTCCTCTCTTGTGCTTAAAAGACCTGTTTTAACATTATTTTATCCCTTCACGTATGACACATTTTTCACTGCGACTGTATCAGCATTGTTCATTCTAAAAGTAAAAGACTTTTAAAAAATATTTGCTAAATGACGATGCAATTTCAATGAACAACAGAGCAAAATCCTAAGAGCACCGAAATATCGTTATAACCAATAGACTGTTATATCTGGGTTCGTTATGAGTGGGTTCGACTGCAAATAACGTACAGTGGGAAAACCCAGAAAATATGTCCAGTTACTCGATTTAGCCTTTTCTTTTTCGTGTGCTGCCCTCTGCTGTGTTAGTCGAATTTCGATAAGGGCCGAGCCAACCAAAGTAGACAAAATGAAAGCCTCAGATATGAAGCGGCAGTGCACGACTTTTCCACTCCAGAAAGGATGCCCACACCATAGCATAGTGAAAGAGGTAGATTGCACAAAGGCCATTCCATTCAGGCTAAAACACAAACCAAGCTTTTTTTGTTAAAGAACCTGGTAGAAGCGAGATGAAACGTTCAGTACTACCCACACCCCAGGCGAAATTCTCTAATGAATGAATGCAGCATACGTATCAATTGTGACAAGCACAGCAAAGTACCTGAGTACATGGGAGCCATATCGACAACTGCAGCTGCGTTGCCAGCTGTGAAGGCACCCAAGGTGACCTTGCCAATTACCAGCAGAAACAGCACGAGTGAACGGTTCGTTCCCGAAAAAGTCAGGCACAGAAGGCACAGCGATGCACCAAAGTTCGCTGCAAAATAAAATGTTCCAAACATTGCACACGTGCCAAGTCACTGAACAACAAAGTGTGCCAGGATGGCGGACTGTCTATTAATGTGTTAAATTTACAGAACTTCATTCCGAGGCGCTCTATATTCTTTTGCGAGAAAATTAATAAAATTGTAATATTTTCATTCATGTATTTTTCATGATCAAAATTGAGTAGTGCTTTATTAAACGTGTTTATTCTGATTTCTGTCATGTTCTCTTATTGTACAAGAAATAACCAACTCTCACTTTCGAAATATGTAGGCAACTCGATATTAGTTACCGTATTTTTCGGTGTATAAGTCGCGGTTTTTTTTCTGAATTTTTCGTGGGTGCGTCTTATACAACGATGCGACTTATATACATTCAAAATCGAGTTGGATGCCACGGTTTGGGTGGCGCTGTTTACGTCAAGCGGGCATCAAAATGGCGTCTACGGCGCTTCACCGCCTTCTGCGATGCACAGAAACCACATTTAAAAAGAAAGTAAGATTAACGGTAAGTTAACACCCTAAAGATAACGCAGCTATGTAGTTTTGCACAAAAAAATAATCAGAGGGGTGAAAATGTGGAGCTATTTTTTAAATTATAAATTATGGAAAGCAAGTTTGGATTTCAGAGCCACTTCCTTTACCATCACTTCCGTCCGCCATAACGTCTTCATTGCACTCGCTGTGTTGCTGTTGCTGCGTGCGTCTCGTGTGTTGTGTTGTGCGTCGTAGCATAGAGCCGGTAGCGCCGTAGAACCTCGCGAACCATGGCGCCACTTGGAAAGCAAAGTCGGCGAAGCTATGACGCCAAGTTCAAGCTGCGCGCTGTTGAATTTGCCGAAAACCACGGGAACAGAGAAGCAGGGAGGCAATTCGACGTCAGTGAAAAAATAATCCGTGACTGGCGCAAGGCCCACAGCGTCCTCCGGACGATGAAGTCGACAAAGAAGGCCAACCGCGGCAAGAAGGCGCACTGGCCGGACCTCGAGCGTAGCCTGCGCACGTGGGTACTGCAACAACGAGCCGAAGGAAGAGGGCTGTCACCAGTGCAGCTGCGCCTGAAGACGAAGGCTCTGGCAGCGGAGAGCAATGTTATGGGATTCAATGGTGGTCCGTCGTGGTGTTTCCGCTTTATGCGACGGAATCAGCTGGTTATGAGAGCCCGGACGACAGTGTGCCAGAAGCTGCCCGACGACTTTCAGGCGCAACTGGACAACTTCAGCTCATTCGTGAGGGAGGAAGTTGCGAAGAAGAATGTCAGCACGAGCCACATCGTTAACATAGATGAAGTGCCGCTGACATTCGCCATCCCGCTTGGGAGAAGCATCGCCGAAAAAGGCTAGAAAACTGTCACGGTGAGGACAACAGGCCACGAGAAGTCCCACTTCACCGTTGTGCTCGCCTGCTGCGCGGACGGCACAAAGCTGCCTCCCATGCTAATATTTAAGCGGAAAACCTTGCTGAAGGATAATTTCCCTCCTACAGTGGTGATTCAGGCGAACACAAAAGGTTGGATGGACGAGGGAATGATGAGTGTGTGGCTTGACCGCTGTTTTTCCCGTCGACCAGACGGATTCTTCCACGTGAAGCCAGGAATGCTGGTAATGGACAGTATGCGGGCACATATCACCGATATTGTCAAGAAAAAGATCAGTTCAAAGAACTGTATGCCAGTGATTATTCCCGGCGGCATGACGAAGATGCTTCAGCCGCTTGACATTTCTGTCAATTGCAGCTTCAAGGCAGTTCTGCGACTTTCGTGGGAAACGTGGATGTCGGAGGGAGAACACAGCTTCACAAAAACGGGGCGCATGAGACGCGCAGAGTTCGGCGAAGTGGCGAAATGGGTGAGTGACGCTTGGGAGTCAATTTCTGCGAAGACCATTGTGGCGGGCTTTCGCAAGGCCGGTCAGATCCCTTGCGCGGCCGATGGCGACGTTGAAGAGTCCGATTCGAGCGAGTCGGAGGACGACAGTGATGTGCCAGCAGTACTGCAACCAGAAGTAGCTGCATTGTTCGTGAGCGACTCGGAGGAAGACGACTTCGATGGCTTTGAATAAACGTCACCAAGCTATCGGAATAATAAAGGTACTTCTGAAAGTATTGCTTTTATGTGTGTTTAAAAGCGCTCGCACGCGTGACTGCCGATAGCTAGAAACGTGCAAAAGCGTTGGCCGTCGCAAGCATGCATTTTTGCAATGCATTGTCATGACGAGATACTTAAATGTCGGTGGTCGGATGAGCAAATGCGTCTTCTACACCGGTGCGACTTATATACATTTTTTTTTTCAGAAAAACTGCTATTTTGAGGGGAGTGCGACTTATACAAGGTTGCGACTTATCAACCGGAAAATACGGTATATACAATCTAAACAAACAGAAAAGAATGCCAACAATGGTCCATCCTAGACAGCCAGCATACAATGCTGGCACCACCATTGTATAAGGATGGCAATAAAGGTCCATCTTTCCCACCCTATTGACTAGAGCTATCTTTGCCATTATTGGGCCCCCACTGGCTACCAATATATGACCAACACACATTTCTGTGCAGCGAAACCCCAAAAGACAATGTGGGACCAATATACCAGCCTATGCTTACCAACCTTGAGCCAAGATCATTCTAATGCCAGCATGCTGCCCAGGTAGGAGCAGCATATCTTTTCACGTCAAACTCATGCCACATGCAGAATCGGTGCTATGCTTTTGCCACTACAACACTGGCACTGGCGAAATATGGCGTATACCAGGAGTCAGCCCAAAGCACGAAGCAGACGATGGCCTCAAAATTTTGTATACAGTGAAAGCTCGTTAATTCAAACTTCAATAATTCAAATTTATGGATAATTCGAACTGTAAGTTATGGTGAGGCCAAGCTCCATACAAGCCTATGAATAAAAAAAGCCTGTTAATTCAAACGCGAGTAGGTTCCACGGCGGATAATTCGATCTATGCGCCACCGCGCCGGCGGCTTGACTAGTCACTTTATAATGCGGCAGCTGAGTTACGAGGCGGCGTTGACAGGGAGCGGAAAGAAAAACGGAGAAACTGGCACGGAGGTCAGAGTGCAGAAAATAGCACCACTTACTCTTCACCCCTCTCCCCCAACAATCTCTCTCTCTCTCGACGGCTGCCTGCTTTCCGTCCTATGTAACCTCCAAGATTTGATTTTTTTTTAAGCGCCAATCTCGGAGCCTTTGAAAATCCTGCGAAGTTGTCGCTGTTAGACGACAGATGGCATGACTAGCACACAGCAAATCGGGTGCGTCGTAGCTTCGCCCAGCCTTCTCTGCAGTCTCTGTCTCGGGCGTGCGTCGTATACCTCGGTTATTGGTGCTGGGAGTAGCTTCCGACTGTCGCGATTCTTTGTGTTGGTGTTAGACCTCGGCTAACGTTTGTTGCAGTAGTGCCGGTAGTAGCTTCCTGTCTGTCGCGATTCTGCTGCTCTTACTTGATGGCCTGTGCCCGCGGCAAATACCGTGCCAAAACACTTCAGGAGAAAGCTAATATCCTGCGGGAAGTGGACGCCGGACTCTTGCCTAAGCAAGATATCGCGAAAAAGCACGGGATACTGAAAACAACGCAGTCTACTTATATAAAAAGTAGGAGGACTATTGAAGACACCTTACAGGCAGAAGTTGCGAGCAAAAGGAGGAGGTTGCGGCCCGTAAAGTATCCTGACCTCAAGAAAGCGCTTCTCATTTGGGTAAAGGAAATGCGTTCGCAGGACATACCACTGAGTGACCCAGTCATACTGGCAAAGGCAGCGGACTTGGCCCTGCAGCTAGACTACGACGACTTTGCTGCTTCAGATGGGTGGTTGCACCGTTTTCGCGAGCGCTACGACCTCATTTTCCGTGATGTGTCGGGCGAAATGAACGTCATCAACATGAAAACGTGTGAAGGTTTGCGCTCCGAAGTGTTTCAAGGCTACATGGAGAAGTATTCTCCAACGGACATATTTAATGCGGATGAAACTGCCTTATTTTTCAAACTGCTGCCCGCCAAAACTATCGCGTATAAAGGGCGACAAGTGCACGGGAGGGAAGAAAAGTAAAGAACGGATAACTGTGATGGTTGCTGCAAACATGACCGGGACCGAGAAGTTGCCTCTGTTTGTGATGGGAAAATCGAGAAGTCCTCGTTGCTTTAAGGGGGGACGCGGCCTTTGAAAACCGAAAAATCGCGAAAAAGTCGATTTTTGGCAAACCACATATTCGGGCAGTATGTGTCATAAACTACCTTTTCTGTAAATATCAACGTCTAATTCGTCGCGAAACCATTTGAAATAAAGTTTAGAACATGCCGCGGCGGCCCTCGAGCGGCGGGCGAGCGCTAAAAATACCCCAACTTGGCGTGATCGCAGTTTCTCGACCGCTCGACGGAGCGCCGCCATTTTGGTGTTGTTTTGTTTGTGCATTCTTGCTCTTTCTTTCCCCGCCACCTGCGTCGCCGGCGGCAGCGCAGGAGAGGAACAAGCCGCTCATGATTGGAGGGCTCGCGAGAGCTTTCAAGTTTCCCGCGGCTGAGGCGTGCAGCTGGGATTGGGCGAAGCGCGCGCTCCCCAAGGACGCGGGGGAGCCCGCGACTGCCATTGGCTGCTGCGCGCGATGACGTAGCGCTCTTGCGCATAATGCGGCGGATGCGGCCGCTCGTCTGCTGCTCCTCCGTCCGGCGTCTTTGTGTTCCGCTCGCTTCCGTGTATCGTTGCAGCCGTTCGCATACTCTCCACGTTTCAACTGTCTTCGAAACGATTTTCAACCGTCTTTACGAGATGATTTTCAACCATCTATATGAGACCGTTGTTGTGTTCGCTCACGATGCGCCCAACGAAAAAGAAGACGCTACAATCGTTCGGTGCAAGGAAGCGAGCTATGAAGCTTGTCCGCGCGGCGAGGCTCTCCGCTCGCACGTGCGCCGACGGTGATCGCGCCGACGGTACCTGTGGGGCAGCTTCTGCTTCATCATCTACGCAAGAGAGTGGTCGCATCGACGCGCCTAGCAACGGGACTCCTGCTCCGCCGGTGCAAGAATTTGTCGTTACAAGTGCGCCTGGTGTCTCGTGCTCATCGACAGTGGCTTCCACATCTTCTCTTTCATCGGCCTCGAGTGCGATCGCGTCGTCAACTGTGCATTTGCGAACAAGTTTCCTGACGTGCGAGGAGAAAGAGGCGGCGGATCAACAACGCGCTGCTGTGCAAAGAGAACTTGGCGCTATGCCAGCGACGGAGCGGAAATTTCAGGCAATGGAGCGCGATCATGAAGCTGTCATCGCTACAAGTGAAGGCGAAAAATTTTTCCTTGTGCAAATGGATGCCCTAGACGACCTGCTATCTCGCACCCCGTGCCACCGATGTACCGTGATTGGGATGAAGGTACGAGGAGGCACCCAACTTGGACTTGCTGCAAAGCTTGAGCTAGTATGCTTGCATTGTGGAGTAGTTTCAAGCTCATGGAGTTCATCTCGTCAGGATGACACAAAGGCCTTTGATGTGAATGTAAGAGCCATTATGGCAACAAAACAAATAGGCAAGGGACAAACAGCTCTGAACGACTTTTGGGCAGCGATGAACGTGTCCCATCGTGGCCTCCATCACAAGACCTTTCAGAAGCACCTGAAGAAATTCAGGGAACCGCAGACACAATGCATAGAAAATTTCTATGCAGAATCTGCTTCTGCTGTAAAAGCCACTTACACAGAAATGGATCAATATTTCACCAGGGATATAACAGTTTGTTATGATGGAACATGGCACAAGCGTGGGCACACATCCCATATTGGAGTCGGGGCAATTATCGAATACCATACGGGCCTTATCTTGGACGCCGTTGTTCTGTCTAATCAGTGCCTTGGTTGCCAAGTAGGGCCAAAGCCTGGAGACGCAGACTATGCATGCTGGCTGGAGAATCATGTGTGCCAGAAAAACACCGACTCTAAATCAGGGAGAATGGAGGTTGAGGCAGCTATCATCCTCTTTTCACGCTCACTGTCGAAGCACAACCTCCGTTACACAACGCTCGTGTCTGATGGAGATAGTGTTACCTTCTCTGCCCTTGTACAAGAAAATGTTTATGGACTGGTCCCCATTTCAAAAGAGGAATGCCTGAACCACGTTCAGAAGAGGATGGGGACTGCACTTCGCAACCTTGTGCAGAAAAGTGACAAGGCTTTGGGAGGGAAGGGCAGGCTGACAAAGGCCCTCATCGACAAGTTGACAGATTATTATAGCTGGGCCCTACGGAACAATCCCGATGATGTGGCTGCAATGCGGCGGGCAGTGATGGCATCGTACCACCATGTGACGTCGACGGATGAGGAGCCGCACCACGACTTGTGCCCAGAGGGTGCAGACTCCTGGTGTCGTCACAATGCCAGCAAGACTACCGGTGTTCCACCTCTGAAGCATTCGTACAAGCTGCCACGCTATGTTGCAGATGCACTTCTACCTATTTATGAGAGGCTCTCACAGGCTTCTCTTCTGCAACGCTGCCTGGGAGCAAAGACGCAGAATGCATCAGAGTCCTTTCACTCTGTGCTGTGGTCCCTCATGCCCAAAGAGCAGCATGCGTCACTGATTGCTGTGGAGACAGCACTGCATGATGCAGTGCTAAGATACAATGCTGGCTGCTACAGGACCACCCAAGAGCTAGCTTCATCAGTGGGGCTAACACCTGGCGACCTGGCCATTCAACGGGCAGCCGAAAAAGATTCTCTGTGCTTGAAAAAGGCTAAGAAGCGATCCCTAGAGAAGATGGAAAGGCGGCAAAGAAAGAGAGTGCCAAAGGACACCTCCAGTTACGCTGCAGGTTCATTTTAGAACTGCCTATGTGCTCAAAACTTTCAAACGTCGTTTTCTCAAAATGACTTTTCTGGCTAGTGAGGCTGCTTATTCCAGCCATATCTCTGGAACCACTCATTGGATTTCCATAAGTCTTTTTTTATTATGTACATGAATAAATTTCTGAGGGGGTGACAAGCCCATTTTTTCAATATATTGTGGGTGTTATTTATTATATTTAATCGAAATTTGATTGATAATATCCTAATCACGAACACAAAGTTTGATGGTCTGCTAAAACTTTTCAGCAAGGAAATTCAAAAAAAGGGCTCTGTTACCCCCTGGAGTATCAATCTGGGAATCATCATAGTTAATTTCACAGTTCCAGCACCTTTTGAAAGTTCTCCAGGCCTGGAATAAGAGAACCATGTGCACTACCCTGATATTCTGCTGTAACTTGAAAACCAGTGAACGTAACTTGATGAAATTTTGTAGTTCTTCTAATGCTTTTGCTATAAGTCTATCCTGAAAATTTCATTAAGATATCTCAATAAACAAAAAAGTTGGTATCCGATGGTAGCCTCCCCCCTTAAGAACATCCGGTCCCTCCCATCAGACTACGCGGCCAACAAAAAGGCCTGGATGACAGGAGAATTGTTCGCGCAGTGGCTGGGGAAGCTTGCCAAGAAGTTCGTACGCTGTGGCTGCAAAGTCCTGCTTCTTGTGGACAACTGTTCGGCTCATAAAGTCAACATTGAGATGAAGGCCATTGAACTGGCCTTCCTTTCAGAAAACACGACAGCGGTACTGCAGCCTATGGACCGGTGTGTAATCAGAAATTTAAAATCATTTTATCGGCGACATACGATGAAACGAATTATTTTGTGCAATAACTACCAAGTGACGCTCCTTAGTGCACTACACATGCTTGTGCGTGCTTGGGAGCTAGTGACAGCGCTTACGATAGCTAATTGCTCTCGCCACTGTGGCTTCAGCACCGAAGCTCTGCAAGCTGATGAGCCACCAAGGCTCGAACACCGCATCACCGCCCCCATGGCAGACGTTTTGGAAGACGTCTGCTTTGCGGACTACGTCAATGTGGACTCAAGTGCAGTGGTGTGTGGTGCACTCACGGATGTCAACATAATATGTCAGGTGAGAAGTGCAGAACCTGTCGCTGCCAGTGACGATGATGAGGAGGAGGACGAAGCACCAGTGCGGTTCTCTGCTGTGGAAGTCATGGCCGGATTGAATGCCGCCCGTCTTTTCTTAAATTTTGAAGAAGGCGGAAAAGAGGCGTTCCGCCGAATTCGCTCGTTAGAGCAAAAAGTGCTGGCTGTCGCCTTCAAGAAAAAAAGGCAGACCGCGATCACAGATCTTTTTGAAAAATAAATTGTTATGCCCTACTCGTAGTGTACTATTGTTGTTTTTCACTTTCGTTCGAACTTTCGTTAATTCGAATTGAGGTGGCTTCCCTTTGCAGTTCGAATTAACGAGATTTTACTGTGTTGGGAGGTGCGCTCAAGCTCTGTGCTCCGACCCCTTTCCTTGGTTTTCGTTTTTAAAACAGGGCCTCATCTTGCACCAATTTCAAGGAGGAAAACAGTTCTTTTAAATGAGAATGAAATTTCGGCATCACTGCAGATGAAGCAGTGCACATGCATCACAGAAAATGTTCCGCCTCAGCGTCAAGTTTGGCTGCGATTTACCTTGTAGCTGCTGTGTAAAACAACAATGCGGCAAAGTAATGATCTTATCAGTAAAGAATTAGCAATGTGCAACAAAAGGTATAGATTTCTGAAGTGTAAGGAACAAATGTTTTTCAAAGACTTTTTTGGTCTCAGCAAGCAGTGCCCCTTAAGAAAACAAGTCTGTCGATATACTCACCAGTGAGCTGAAATGCTTTTCGCACAAGAGTGGTCGGCAGGTCGCAACGAAGCAGGCAGTCTGCAAGCACGCCCGAACCCAGCATCGACACAATGGTGAAGGCAAACACGAGAGCACTGAAGTTGGCGTTCTGGGAAAAATAAGTATCGTGAATGACACAAACAGAAATGACCAAACCGATCTGAGGAAGCAATGGCATTTGAAGAAAAACTGAGAGGCAACACCCCACATTTATTCAATAAAACTTGATAAAGTTCTGAGCTTTGATACCTGCTGGCCAAAAATCCTTAGTCCATGCACTCTAGTATCTTTTGCTTTTCTATGAGTAATGCAAGTGGGTATTTTTTGAAACCTTCAGACTACACAGGAAGTTCTGCAAAATTTTACAGAGGCTAAGTGGCCAGATTATCGAAAAAAAGGCTTCAAAATCTGTGATGTCTTATTGACATCAAAGCGCTCAAGTTTCCCCATGCACAAATTTAAAAAACACCACTTATCTTTTTGTTCTCTTTTATTAATATAATATGCCATGAAATAATTAAAACAATATATTTTTTTGAAATTATTTTGTCGCTCTAACTAATTTATCCCAATAAAAGTTTAATTAAGCTTAAAAAAAGCTAGCTTCTCAAAATTGCCAATCTTTTTATTTGTGCCAGCCCAGACCTGACTCAGGGACATCCCAAGAACGCCTTCCACGTACGCTGGCAGCTTGGTGAACAGTAGCAGAGAGACCCACAAGTTGGAGAACCGCGCTGCCACCAGGGCCCACACAGGTGCTGACGTGAAACACAGCACGCCAGGGAAGCGGCCGTTTCTGTAGCAGCAAGAATGTGAACATCACGTCTGCTGTCTAAACAAGACGAAACTGGTTTGAGATGCAGCAACATACTCTATTTACACACGCTTACCACAACAGCTGATTATCGATGATACGAATCTTAAGGGGGAGCGAAAATATTTGTGTCGCCCGAAATTCTGTATCATGAAAAAAATTAGCAAAATCCATTATCGAGCTAGCGTATAAAATTGCAACAATTACTTTTCTTGAAAGAACTAACAAGTGTCTTCCTAGGACGCATTCCAAAAGAACAATAAAGAGCAGCACAGTCGACTGCTGCACAGCTTCACTTGAGGCTAACTGAAAACTAAGTGCCAACTCCACTCTGTCGCAGTCATAAGGAAACGACAGGAGCTCAGAAATGCTTCGAGCCTATTCATATTATCACTGGCTTCAATCCATTCAGTCAGCAGTGACAGTAATTATTACTTCACTGGCTTCAATCTACTCAGCAGCTGCTGACCCTGCTGACTCAGCTGACCTGATCTGCTGCCCATGTGCTCCGAGCAGCACATAGGCAGCAGAAGTACAACTTACAGAGGCACCGGCAATAAAGAGACAAGAGATAAGTGATTTCGCCGGCTCCCAAAGTTAGTGTAACCTCGCCCCCCCCCCCTCCCCATCCGCAACTTTCTACTTCCTTTAATGCAGACTTGATAGTCCTATTCTCAGTAGTGCTAATTTTGCCTGGATGGTTGGCTTTGCGAGATAGCACCATCGTGTTGCATTGATTGATTGATTTGTGGAGACGTCGCAAAACCACCATGTAATTATGAGAGACGCCGTTGTGAAGGGCTCCGGAAATTTCGACCTCAGGGGTTTTTTAACGTGCACCCAAATCTGAGTACATGGGCCTATAACATTTCCGCCTCCATTGGAAATGCAGCCGCCACAACCGGGATTTGATCCCGCTACCTGCCGGTCAGCAGCCGAATACCTTAGCCACTAGACCACCGTGGCGGGGCCACCTATCATGTTGTAGAAAAAAACCACCTCAATAGGGGGTTACATGTGGTCACACGTATATGTGTTCAGTTTGAATACTTTGAAATTTTGAAATAATCTGAATTCATGTTGAAGCAAATTCGAATATTTGGGATTCATTTAATAAGCGCCCATTTATTTATCCATACACATGTAAACCTAAGTTTCTGTTCTTCACTTTTTCAGGGTGTCTACGAATCAGTTTTTTCGATATTCCCTGATTTTTCCAGGTTTTCCATGACCCTTACGTCTGTTCGGAAAACTCTGTGCACCGAAAACAGGCCCTCGAGTGATAAAAAAAAATCTGGCACTCCTTTAAGGGGGGACATGGGTCTTTAAAATTTTTTTTCTGTTTTTGGCTCAATCTTGACCAAACCTCACCATCTTGGACAGTTTTTCATGCTGATTTCAAATATGTAATTGTTTCTGAAATAGCTTCAGTGGATAAAAAGATATTAACATCTGTAATTTAATTAATTATGCACTTCATTGGGGGCTTTTTGGCAACTTAATCAAGCCAGATCCAAAAAATAAATGCATAGCCCCAATGCTGAGGGCTTTCTGTATAGGGTGATGCTATTTTTATTAATTTTTAGGCATTATATAGATAAGAAAACAGACCAGCACTTACAATGGATATTCTGTTCAATTTTCGCTCATTACTATCCATAATTGTAATTAACAGTATGCTTCTAGAGTAATCAAAATAGCATCACCCCATAGGTAATGTTATTACAAATAAAATAATACCAAGTTTGTCATTCTCAATCAACAGTAACATATAAGAAAAACCCCTAAGGTTTAGTGTGGTGCACAAAAACATAGAACTGAGAAAAACGCATCTAAAGTTTCTAATAACTGTAACTTTTGCTAAAGTGAAGCTAGAGCAATAAAAATGGCACCGTTGTATAGCTCTACATTATGTGAGTATGGCTGTACCAAATGTGTCAATGCACCTTCCCAAAATATTTGCCACAGCTCATTTAAAAACTGTGTACTGGCCGTTGAATCAGTATAAGGAACCCAGTCTACAACTTTGTGGCTGTTCTAGTGCACTGAAAACCAAAGGAAGACACATGTTATATATAAAAACATCGCCCTTTTATACATAAAACACTATTTCAAGTAAAACACACATTTTTGTCCCAAACATTCTTACAATTCTACAGCATGCCAGGGCTGTATGCAGTGTCTCTTGCAGGCTTATGTCGCTTTGCAAGTGTTGCCTTTGTAGAACTGCTCTGTGCTCCCTCCGCGATTTGTGAAGCCTGGTTTTATCCTTTTCAAGGCTACGACGCATGAAGAGATTTCCTGCACTGTAGCCTAGCTTCTCAGCAATTGCTTCATTGCTCTTCGTGGCCCCCTGATTAAAGCGGCTGATGGCTTCAGCCACTGCTCTTTCTACGCTGCGCAGTGAGGCATGGGTGGTCTTGGGGACTTGTTGCCAAATTGTAGCGTGTAAGCTCTCACTAGGATTCTGGCAATAACAGGCACTTGCGCCAGCGAGTCGTCGTCTGAATGTGCTGCCTCCGCAATAACAGGCATTTCCGACAGCCCGTTGTCGTCAGAATGCGCTGCCTCGGCCATCTCCGGCGTTCTCGGCGGCGCGCAGGCCGCTCCCTTCTGCCGCGCATTCCATGCTCGCTTTCGTTTCCTGCCGAAAGCTTGACGAGTGTTCTTCCTCAGGCGAGCTTCCCAAGCCATGCCGGCGAAATGCAGAAAGACGTATACGTCGGCGACGTCGGTACACGAGCGGGTAGCAGACGAGATAACACGCACGAGAGCAGGCGCCGACGGAGCAAAACCAAACAAACAAAAAAAAAGAGCGAGCAACCGTGGCCGCGCCGCCACGCCAGCCAATGGTAAGCGCGAGACGGGGGGGCTCGCCGGCGCACGCGCGCTCTAGCCAATCAGCGGTCTGGCAGACGGCTTCGCAAAACGGGGGAGGGCAGTCATTGTGTTGGAGCTACGCCATTTTGAGAGCCCGCAAAACGCGCACAAAGGAACCAGCTTCAAAACAAGCCCAAGATGGCGCCGATCCGCCGAATGCTTCGCTGGCGGCGCGCGCGGGAAGTTCGAACAAATTTTCCGTTTTGCGGGTTGTTTTGCGACTTCCGTGATGGTTTGAAAATAGATTTTAACCTATTTTTTTATCGAATTTAGCATTAATAATTTGAGGAGAGGTGCTTATAGGTTCAAAGATTCGAAAAATGCGTTTTTCTCAAAATCGATTTTTTGGCCATTTTTTACTTTTCTAAGACCCGCGTCCCCCCTTAAGTAGATAAATGTAACACAAGTGCTGAGAATGTTGTGAGCACGCGTGGTAAATCTGAAAAAAATCTGGCCAAAAAGGAAACCTCCTAGTGAGTGAGTGAGCAAGGTGGCTGCTTAAGTTTGTAAGAACCAAAAAGCAAACACATGAGTTAGTATTAACCGCAGCTAAACGTTTAGAGGAGCCCATGGCAGTCCTACCATGCAGCCTAAGCTGCTAGAAAACGTAGAAGTGGCACCATCTCGTGGCGTCTGTGTAAAAGGAAGATGCTGGAGCCCGATTGGTTCCGCCACTGGAATATATTCTAGTTCACTATAATGATTATAGCCCAGGCCGCTTAGGATGTGGATTGGATTAGATTGACCTGTATTTACTGACTTGAACTATTTAGGATGTGGATTGAATTGGATCTTATTTTACTATTGATTTGCATCCCCATCTAAACTGCACACCTCTAGTATATACTTTTTAGGAAAAAGACAAATACTACTACTCACGTATTCTGTGCACCTTGCATTAAACAATGACTAACAATGTCACAAAAACGAAGCCTTACTGCATAATTTTTTCTTTCATCTATTTTCTGCACGACGAGCACATGCATGTTGCTGTTTTATTTTTCTGGTCTCTGACGCTTAGAGTTTGGCAGTGTCCTCAGATGCCTGCAATGAAACCTAGGGTAGTGTTTAATGCGATGACGTTTGAACATGTGCTGGCAAGAAAAAATCTGTCAGGGCGCAACAGCTCCCCCGATTCCATAGATTTATCACAGATGCCGGTGGGTTACCTTCGTTTTTGTACTCTTCTATAAATATAAAGCTAAAAATTAATCACAGATTATATAATACCACCTCAAGAAACTGAAATAATAGTTTAGATGAAGTTACCCAACTCTACCCTTGAAACGCAAGCTACCAGCAATAAGTGTGTAGCTGAGGATGTTTGCCATTGCATTGCAAATAATAATGATGATATTAATAACAATAATATTAAAAGGCATAACATACCCCGCCTAGCCTCAGTTAATGGCAGTCCTAGCCGAACCAGTAGGCTTTCAAGCTGAGCCAAATCACGGGTAAGACAAACATACACAAATTTAACGACGTGAATTATGTTAACATTTGGAAAGTCAGATATGCTGCGTGATATGTAGAAGCAACAGATGTACATAGTGTATGTACGAATATGGAAGCTAAGGAACGCTTTAGACAACGGGAAGGACAAGTAGCTAAGCGAAAATTTCCACTGTCTCTTTTATTTTAGGCTGCCACAATTGTGACAACCAGTACATCGGTAAGACCACTTACTTCAAGGAAAGAGTTGAAACACGAATATGATGTCCGGAAACTATGCATGACCTCATATGCCCTCGCTAAACATGTTGATTTTACAGGCCACCAAACTGGCTGGTCAAGTGTGCGAAGGAAAGCTTGCATCATGCCTGCACCTGGAACACCAGCACATGCAGACAACTGGAAATATGCTGAACAGGAGTAATGGAACGCTTCCAACAATGTACTTCTAGGGCTTACGTCACATACTTAGGGGTACTTCTCTTCATTTTTTCATTTTCAGTTTATTGTTTTCAAAAAAAGATCAACAAATATACAGGCGAAGAGCCCAAAGTAATGATTTGATTTGATATGTGGGGTTTAACGTCCCAAAACCACTATATGATTATGAGAGACGCCGTAGTGGAGGGCTCCGGTAATTTAGACCACCTGGGGTTCTTTAACGTGCACCCAAATCTGAGCACACGGGCCTACAACATTTCCGCCTCCATCGGAAATGCAGCCGCCGCAGCCGGGATTCGAACCCGCGCCCTGAGAGCCCAAAGTAAAAAAAAACTGTAGTGAGATGCTCCGCCTTTCTTATGACTATTTTTGTGAACAAGGCTCACGTAACAGGTGCCATAATGTCAGTACACTTTGTATTCTTTTAGTAGGTGTATCCTTTCGCATCTTCACTAACAAGCAACAGTTGTACGCTGCTTTCTTTTCACACAACCTTTAGTTGTTAACTGTAGTTTAAGCCGAAGGAGTGGCTTTTTAAGCTTTGATCAATGGTAATGCTGATTTTTGGCATGATCGCACATGCTAGAATCAGTTTCCATGAGCAGGCCAGATTTTTCAGAAATTTCCTGACTTTTCCCTGACCTTTCCAGAAGGGTCCGAATTCCCTGACTTTCCAGGTTTTTCAAGTCGGTAGACACCCTGCTTTTTTTATAACAGTTGAACGGCGTTATATAAGACATGCCCTAAGAGCTGTTCTTTTCCCTCAAATGAGATCTTCCTTATAATCAGGGTACCAAGTTCTGATTTTCTGATGAACTCTTATTTTGGTGTAGGCAAAGTGGTTTCTCTTCTACCCATCTACCTATTATATCTGAATTATGAGCCCTGGACCCCTGACAAGAATGCAGGCAATGTTCTCACCTCTCAAAAAATCTGTCTACTGGCCATAATTAGGCTTGTGTGGCGATTGAAATTCATCAAATATTTGAACGAATAGTAGAGTACTCGAATACGCTTCGATTCAAATTTAAATTGTTGGGAATTTCTAAGTATTCGCAAGGAACGAATAAATGTATATCGATCGGCAAGTGACCGCCTGTAAAGGTGGCATCACTGCAATGGGGGAGTGCCAAGCCATGAAAGCACCCGCCCAGCAGAAATCCGCTCTGCCACGAAGCCCAACTTTAAATTTAGAGGAGCTCTGCAGCACTTCTTGAGCGTTGTCAGAAAACACTGCCAATCAGGAGTCGAGGCTCCCGAGAACATGCAAGCCAAATATTACAGCGAAGGACTTGGCCTGCAATTCACAATAAATCCTCAAAGTCAGCTAAAAAGTTGCTGTCTTCTCTCAGCAAATGATGCCAAGCTCAAAAATCACTCGTCACCGCCATTGTATCAGCCATCGGCTTCTTGAGCAAGGCATGCTCGGTCGTTACTGGGGCTGCCACGGGAGGCCGCCACTTGTCCAGACGTATATGCACGATCGCACTCATAAGACACTCATTAGAAGAAAAAAACAAAAAACAAGAGAAAGTGGTCAAGGTCACGAGGCACGCGTGACGTATTTTCTTTCCCCATGCCATCACTCTCTAGTTCGCTTCCAGCAATTTCATCGAGAGGAGAAGAGAGAATGCAATTGTAGTGTCTTTGCAACTTTGCAGCTGCACTTGAACTGGACTGAATTATAAAAATGTTTGCGGTGATGAATTTGTGAGGATATAAGCTTCTTTAATAAATTCATTTCACTGGCTATTTGAAAAAGCATTGCAGGACCCCTTTGAATAAACACAATACCCTCAAACCGATTCAGTCCTCTTTTTAAGCTTAGAAGCTTGTTACAATAGCTTATACGCTCCAAGTATAATAAATTTTAAAATGTTATGTATTTTACAGGTTATTACTCGCATCCTGCCAAAAGTCAAATACTGCTACTTCTTAAAGTTCATTGGACCTCATTTGAATGAAAAATAAAAGCTTGGGGCTGTGCAAATATTCGAAGGTTTTCAATATTCGTCAAATATTGCATTTGTAATATTTGTATGCGATTTGATGACCACATATTCAAAACTTTACAATATTCGGAATAACTCAAATATTCCTCGAATATTCAATGTACACGAATTTACACGAGAATTTCAATGTACACGAGAACTTAAGATTTTGCGCATTTGTGATAAGAGCCTCAGTAGATCATGCAGTGATTACTAAGACTTCGGCACGTGTGCTGTGATGCCTGCATGGAAGTTCACGGGAGCATGATGACGGCTACCGACGAATGTGGCGGCACGTCATTGCAACAAACCTACTAACCATAAACATCTCAATCAATCTAAATCTAAAGTGCCTGCACGGCAGTACATGTGGCTTAGCGGTATAGCGCACGCCGTTCGCTGCTGTGCTCTTGTGCGCAGGATCGCAAATGCGTATTGCTCATGAAAACGAAGGCAACTCGCCACTGCTGCATTCGCTACACAAAGTAGTCTTCCCACCTGTGCTGGGTCCTGTGCTGCGAGCACAAAGAAAAAAAGTGAGTTTTGCCACAAGGGCGAAGCAATGAATGCAATAGCAACAATTAAATAACTTCGGATGTAACGCTGAGCACGGCTAGCAGATCGAAACGTGCAGCCCACTACTGACAAATGACGCACGAAAACAGCGCAGACAGGATGAGAGCTAACTAATAACGCTTACAGCTCAATGCTTAACATGCTAATTAAACAACAATGATGCACGAAACGTAATCACAGGTGCAGTTATGAGTGCGAACTAATGAATGTTCCAGCTGTGACTTCACCGTGTTAGAAAAGTGCGCTATTTTCACAAACAAGACCTGCCCAGCGAGCCGAGTGACCTTTGTGGCCCAGACAATTAACGCAGTCGTCCCGGTGAAAGACCAAGGCACGCGATTATCTCTACCGGAGGTTAAGCACACGTGTTCACAAGCTCCAAAACCTCCTGATCCCTCCTGCAGGGCAAAGTACACGTGGGAGATAAGTGCGCATTGGCGCATCCCGACGAGCTGGGTGCCGAGCGCGGGCGTCTTTTTTTTCTTTTTTAAGTTTACATATATATAGATACGTATCAAGGTGCATGATGGCAGCAGCGGCAAAAACCAGCCGAGACTGTTCATAGAATATCTCCATGAATATCTCCAAAAATATCTCCATGAAGGGGCAAATGCACCCATATACGTTACAGGGAGCGGCGCTGATGAAGTGAGCTTTAATAGTGCACGCAATTAACTAGAGGCGCACTCAGCTTCACGTATGATGGCAACGCGTTTCATGCCTAGCCACGCCAGTTTTTGCAAATGGATCGCCGTACAAACGTTCGCGCACATATCAAAGCCCAATGAGTCATCTGCCAGCTGTGCTGCTACTTTAGCATGTATACTCTCTTCATAGTTCCGGAATGATTTCATAGTAGCAGATATGGTTATACAAACGAGCTGAAGTGTTTTTCCACGCAATTGCAAACATAGAAAAGGCCATGCACTTTTTGTACCGCTACAATGGCAGTCATCACATAAGGTTCTCTGTGCTAACGGGGGTGAAGGGAAGGTGACGGATGGATTATTGCGTAGTTATGCTACGTTCCCGACAGCGCCTTTAAAAATCCGTCGTACGCGCATCGCGCTCGCACGGCATTGTCTCCTGCAATAAACCCTCTGTCACACCTTTGCTACGATCTGGCTCTTTTGTCAACGACAGTTTACTGCCGTCGGCAGCTGGTGCACCGAAGTGGGTTGCAATGCGGCAAAATAGTGCGCTCGCCGCCGGGAGTTGTGGCTCTGTTAACAAAAAGGCGTATTTGGGGTGCATTTCAATCACACATTCGTAATCATCTATCTCATATCTTATGCGGTTACCTCGCGTTATCGCTGCGCACTCGATACACCTCGGTCACGATCATGCTGCTATCAGCGCAACACAGCATTCTTGATCGGAGAATGGCGAAAGCACAGTCCTCGAGAAAGGCAACCGAAGTAAGTGAGATAACGAGTATTGTCGTGTAGTTAAAAACACTCTAAGTACTCCTATTTTCCTTAGGGGGCGTGACCCTGGAGAACAGGGGAGAAAATTAAAGCAAACTATACGGTTGAACCGCTATATAAGAGACAAATATGTATAAGAGACAAAAGTGTGCCTACAGCAAAATACGGATGATAAGAAAATGCATACTAGGCACCTTGCTCATAAAAAACAACTCATATATAAGAGAGCTGCTGCCTAGAGCATGCCTCTTATAAAGTTGTTCAACTGTAAAATCAGGATTTTTCGAACCAAAATTGATAGCCTGGGAACCTGGATGTATTGTGCCCACCTAAACTGGTCTAATAATCGCTTAGACTTAAGTACATGGGTGTTAACTGTTACACCATCAATCCAGTAGCCTCATGCTCTCTGGTCATCATGGCAGGTACGAAAGTGTTTCTCTTTGTAATAAAAAAAAAGGTACAAAAAGGCTTGTTTAACATGTGGATTGAGCCCAAGACATCACAGTCACAAGCTCAACTATTACAGTCCTATGCTTTGAGGCAAGTTCAATAGGCGACATTTTTTAAAATTTTGGTGTGCAATAACTGACTATAATAACAATTCTACTGTTTCCAACATAAATATATGACTGAGTAAAAGAATTCTGGAGAAAAAAATTTAAATTGCACCTCTTCATTATTCGAAAATTTTGATATTCACACTCTCCTAATAAAATCATTCGTATAAAAGCCTTATTTCAACTTTTAAAAAAATTTTGTGCAGGTTAGTTAGGTCAGGATAAATACGCCCATTTTCCTTTATATATCATATATACTATTTGAATTGAATTTGAATTTATTCGACCAAAATTACTATTCACTTCATACCTAAAATCTACTATTCGCACAGGCCTAGCCAAGATGCTTCATAAATAAAGGCAGCGCGTCTGTGCCATAGGCACTCACATTACAATTAAGGTTCGATTTTTTTTTTTCTCCTGAACAGGTTCAAAAGTCACTCCTCACATTACAAGCGGGTAAATACTACCGGACGCACAAGAAATTAATGCACAGTTACTCACCGTTGTGCTGGCCTTGAGTGGTCCAGCACCATTCGATGATTGTATCTTGCGAAGCTCTGCAGCGGACACCTTTGGGTCGTGGGCAGGATCGTCGAAGGCCAGGAAGTACCACAGTGCTAGCCACAAGAAGCCCAGTAGCCCTGAAACACGATAGGTAAGCCATAAATAACGAATCATGTGGGGCACGATCTCTAACATACCACATTTACTAGCATTACATCCACAACCTTATATCTGAGAAAATTTGACGTGGTTTGGAATTTACAGGAGAGTACGGCACCTCACTAGCCACTGAACAGGGCCGTAAGTAGGGGAAGTTGACACCTGCCGGAATTTTTTTTTCCCCATTTCAAACTTTTTGGGTGACGCTCAAAATTCGGCTGAATAATGCAGGCAGGTGTCTACACACTAAAAACAGGTTTATTCATATTCACCAATGTCAATATTCATATTCACCAACGCCTTGCTTCATTCTTCAGTATTATCGCTCTCTGCATCACTCTGATTATAACCTAAGCTTACCAACTCAATAGCAGATTTTAAAAAAAGAATTTTTTCATTGTTGCTGACATTCTATTTTCAAGTTTCCCGAAAACTAGAACATTTTTAAATGGTAGAGGTTTTTTCTGTTCCAAATTTATCAAAAACTAAAATTTAGTGACATTGTTACAGAAAGTCCTTAACCTTGAAAGTAAAAACCACTAGTATTACACAAGTGAATATGACACACATTTAAATATCCATTTACCAAGCTTCAAGATAACAAAATCCTCAATATAGCAGCATTTAACTTAGTACAGCTTCATTTTCATCTAACATTGCGCAGCATGTAATGAAGCAAGTCTACCCACAGTTTAAATTAATCAAGTATCACTGCCACAGTCAACAGAAAGCTTAGCTGCTTCCAGAGCTCAGGGTGATGAACCACACATAAATCCTTTTTTAAGAATGCATTTTTCAAATCGAGGAGCATCAAGGAGCAAACCGAGGAGCTGCAGAAGCAGGACAACACCTTTTGTTGCAGGTAGGCAGCAAGAGGAAACCTCAATGCTTTTTCCTCCTCATCTCCAAAGCATAAGTGGAAGCATCCTAGCACATCTGTTAGGACGCTAGCATGCTGCAAGCATCCTAGCATCACTGTACAGTGAGCACCCTATTGTTCGCTCAGCAACCAGCGTAAGGGAATACTCCTGTATTGCTCTACCTAGTGTCAGCACCTGATTAGGTGTTCTTGTAGCCATGTGTCCAGTTACAAAGCTGGTATGGTTGTTGGTTAGTTGCTTGGTTTGTTGGGTATGCCACATGGCAACTCGAGTCGAGAGAAATGACGCAGTGGAGGACTCTGGATAACTTAAATCCCCTGGTGCTTTTCAATGTGCACTGAAGTTGCACAGCATTCAGCCTCAACTTTGGGCAACAACCAAGCTTTTGATGGCAAGCTGCAATGGTAGAATGGTCGCGATATTGCCACGAGTGTTATCTTGATGTGATTCGTTTAAACCCGCAAAGACAGTGAGCAACACTCGGCACAGATCACGTCTCAGTGTTTGAGAAGCTTCTTGATTGTAGTAGATAATTTTGTCAAGATTGAGCACAAGACGCGAACACTCAAGATTATTCTAGAGCTTCTGCGACCACCGATAATAAGCCTGGAAAGTTCGACACGTGCTGTACATATAAAAGACGGTGCGTCCCAAGGATGAGTCAGTCGATCAACGGCCGCCGTTCTGATCGTTGCTATCAGTGCCAGTGTGTATCCCTGAAATCCGAGTTACCGCTTACCCGCTACAAGTTCAACCAAATAAAAAGTTTCATCTTGGACACACAGTCTGATCCCTTCATTCATCGACCCCCACGACATGACTTCACTTACATGTATTACTGCAGTGAAGTGGACCCGCATTCCGTATTTATGCACGATGTACACCTGCTGTGAAGAAGACCTCGCCGAGTGGCATGAACGCATGGTCAGCCGGTCTTGAGTTCAACAAAACTAGTTGTTTAAAACCATTATAAAAGCAAGATTTCAATCTTTTCTGTGGCACCTTCAGTATAAAAAATAATGTGCCGGCGAATATATATATTCTTAAACAGGTCACACTGAAATATACCAAAGTCATCACATAGCAAAGTAAACTGATAATTTTGCCATCTTCGTCCCATGGGGGTTTAACTGTGGTCCTTTAAAAGGGACACTGGGACTGTGGATATCCACACAAAACAGCACATACACACACAGAACTACAACCACGAAACGCAAAGCTTTTTTGGGGGGGAGCTTTGCATGTGTGTGGATGCACTGCCATGCGAATGTGCATTTCAACCAAGTAATCCAAGTTTTTGCCACTAATATATTAACATTACCTTTCATTTCTTGAATTTTTATTTCTTGAGTACTTGATGTAACTTCACGTCGAAAAGAAGACACCACTGTATTGTATACGCAATCATGCTCGTAAAGTGTCTAATACCAGTGCTTACACAACTAACACGCAGCGAGCGCAAACAGAACAGTACATACGCTTAGAAGTGTGGCAGCTTGGGCTAGTTGGTATGGCATGACGATAGTTATAGCGCGAGAACAAAATGACGACACAGAGCATATCTTTTGTGTCCTTCTTGTCTCTGTGTCGTCGTTTTGTTCTCGTGCTATAACTATCGTCAGTACATACGCACTAAGTACGATAACAAGAAACGTTTACAGTCAAAACCCGCAATAATGAAACCCCGCGAGTACGAAATCACCACGGCATCGAAATATTTACGGATCCCTGGCGAACGTTCATAGAAGCCCGTGTATTATGTATCTCGTGGCAATGAAATGTTTTTGGACAGCGATCCCGCATTAACAACTTTTCTACTATGGTACGGGCCTTATTTTAACCTCTCGCCAAAAGTTAACTGTTGAAAATATGCTCGTATGCGTGTTATGCGCACTCAAAATTTGTAAATATCTGCTTTTGCCGCACTAGCGTGGGTACCACCATTTTTGTTTACTTAAGGGGGGACGCGGCGTTGGGATCGTGAAAAATGGCAAAAAAAAATCGATTTTTTGAAAATCAAGTTTTCAGTTTTTGGAACCCTTTTTCTATCTGATTCGAAAATATCTACACTGAAAACCGTGCAGAAGTGCTTCGGTAAATTCATTTCACCCACCTAGGTAGAGAAACTTTTTCTAGAAATCGGGGTAAAACAGCGATTTAAAAAAATTATGGCTTTGCGAAGGCGGGGCCGGGAGCCGGCTTTTCGGGCTCATCGGATAGAGCATTTCTCTGTGTTTAAGCTTTCCCGCCTCAGCTGGCCGCTCCCTTTAAAACAAGTGCACAAAAAGCAAATGTTTGAAGGTCGTTTCGAGGCTCTTGATTGGCTGTGGCGGTCATGTTGCCTCAGCTCGCCTCGCCATTGGTCCGACGCTCGCTCCGGGAGATCGTCGCCTGCTGCTTGTGCGTCGCGAGGACATGGCTCTCGAAAATTGCTACTTCATGACGTGTTCACGGCTCAATGATCACTTAAGATATAATTAAGCTTTAGTTAGAAGCAGTAGGCGGATGCGCGATCAGGTCACTATGAGCGCGGCGCGTCATCGAAGTCGCCTTTAGCCCTCACTTCGCCGACAGCGAGACTGCGGGCAAGAACAATGCGCTAGCGCACTCGTGGCAACGTGCTTCGTCGCAAGCAACGAAGTTGTAAGGGGCGGCACTGTCAGATTACTACGAGTGGCCGCACCAGATGCACGATCAGATTACTACGAGCGGGCGCGCGGTCTACGAGGGCGGCGCGTCATCGGAGTCGGCTTTAGCCTAAACTCTGCTGACAGCGAGACTGCGGGCAGGAACGACGCGCTAGCGCATCCAAAACAACCCGCGGGTAGTTTTGGATGCACTGCAGACCCTTCGCTCCTTCTTCGGCACACATGACGACGACGTAGCAATGGACCACTTTTTCAGTGCGAAGGGAGAGCTTTGAATTTGTTGCATGGCAAGGGTCGGCAAAGTAAGTTGACCGACTTCTGGCAATAAATTTTCGTTCTGGTGGCCGTATCACTGTTTTTATTTTCATACTCGCGGCGAAAATGAAATTTTTTGGTTTCCCCGGCAATTTCGTTTCGAGTGTATTGCCCTTCCGTATGAACGACACAACTTCTAAAAACGTGTTAAGATGCCTACAACACTAAAACAAATTTGAGAGTGTTTTCAGTTGACGCAATGAGTAAGAACAGAGCGTACAGCAAAGAGCTCCGCGTGCAAATACCGTGCATTATCGATCAGCAGTGAAGCAAACGTACTGGAAAAGTGACACTAGGTACTTCCGGCAGTGCACACGATTTGCACCGAGTATACACAACAACTGGGATTTGCGCAGCTTTTCTAAAAAAGACGCAAAAGGACCACCATTTGCAAATCGACTCGCCGCCGGCGCCGGTTCCAAGGCCGCGGAGCAGCGTAAATCGCGAATAGTTTATTTGCTTCTCTGCTAGAAGAAGATGCGAAGTTTCCGATGCGGCGGCTGCACAAATATGACGTCAGGGCCTCTCATTAATTTTTTCTTCCTCCATGGTAGCAACAACGGAGACACAGTCGTCGTCGTCCTCTGGTGTGAGGCGCGACAAATATGACATCAGGGCCTCTCCTTAGTTTTTCCTTCCTCTGTGGTAGCAACAACGAAGACGAAGTTGTTGTCGTTTTGGGTGTGAGGTGCGACTAGTTGACCAGGCTTTGGAAGGTGTGTGTTCGTTTTTCAAGTGTTATGACCAGCCGGGGCACTTATCGCCCACCAAAGGACCTTAAAACTGAGGTGGAAATTCCGTGCAAAGTTGAAAACGCCCTTTCCAAGATGGAAATCACCAAGAAGTATGACATCACCAAGAACATGCTGTCAATATACATCAAGAACAAAGAGTCTATGATCATTGGGTATGAAAAGCAGCAAATGAAACCGCCGAGAAAAAGGCTCCAGACATCGGCACATCCCCTAATGTGGATCAAACTGGTTCGCAGCCAGAACCGCACACTCAGTGGGTCGATATTAGCCGCCAAGGCGAGAGAGTTCGCTACTAAGATGGCTCTTGAAGAATTCTCGGTGTCGGACGGGTGGCTGTCATGCTTTAAGGAACGCCATGGACTTACTTTCAAGATTGTTTGCAGCGAGAAGGCGGATTTTGACAGAGTCAAATGCAAAGAATGGCACTCTGGCGATCTGACCGATCTATTTGCTGCCTACTTGCTCGAAGACGTCTTTAACGTCGATGAGATAGCTCTCCATTACGAATTGCTGCCCAGAAAAGCTATTATTTTTCAGGGCGACGATTGTGTCGGCAGAAAGAAAAGTAAGGAGAGGCTAACGGCGATGGTGTACGCGAGCACGACAGGCATGGAACGTTGGCGGTCGCTCGTAATTGGCAAAGCAGCTAGGCCTCGGTGCTTTCAGAAGTGTGAAGAGCCTTCCCATTGATTACGGCGCAAATAAAAAGGCATGGATGACGAATATTTTTTCTGCTTGCGTCGATGTACTGGACAGAAAATTCGTGGCAAAATGCCAGAAGATCCTCCTTTTCGTGGACTGCACAGCGCACTGCAATTTTGAAGGCCTACGTGCAATTTAATTGGCCTTCCTGCCCAAGAATAGGACGGCACTGGTCCAGCCCATGGACATGGGCATAATCCAGAATTTTAAAAATTTGCGCCGCCATCATATCCTGAAAAGGATGCTGTTGTGTCTCTACAGCGAGAAAACCTATTCCATTGATCTCGGTGCAGCACACATCCTTACTAATGCTTGTAACTCGATTAGGCAGAAGACCACATCCAATCGTTTTAGGAAGGGGGTTTTGTTGAACCTGCAGCTAATGATGAAGGGGCAATGTAGATTTCTTCTGACGATTTCATTTGCGTTTCTGGCAACTTCAGGAGTCTTCTACAGGATGGCAGAATATTTTAAAGTCATGTGCAAGAAGACAGCAGTGTTCAGGCTACTGGCGTTATCACTGACGCAGTAATAATTGAATTTGCATGCCCTAAAGTGGCGACATCTGAGGACCCTTTTGCCCTCAGCGGCAAGGATTCTGATGACAGCAATGAGGTGCCCCTCCCTCTATTTAGAGATAATGAAGCACTTTTGGCACTGGATATAGCCCCGCCTTACTTCTCTTGCCAGCAGAATGCTGAAGCCGAAGTGGAAATGTATAGCAAACGGTGTGCGAAGTTGATTGGCTCGTTGCAAGGCAAACGTGTGTGGATGCGCATCCCCGATTCCTTCAATTAATAATGGGTGTCCTGTGATTTGTGAATAAATGTAGGCCTTTTGAAACTTTGCCCTTGTGTCTTAGCTTAATGCACATGTGCCACTGCAGCTGAGCCCTCCATTCAATAAGCTTTCATTATTTTGAAATTCTTTTAATTCAAACAAACTTCTGGGCCTCTTTGAGTTTGAGTTATCGAGATTCGACTGTACCATTTCTTTTTTGTGTATACTGTTAGCATCGAGTCGCTGAAAACTGGATGTCACCTAAGAATAAGAGGGCTTAACCGTGCCAGTGAAACTGCAAATCAACAATTTGTTTATACAAGTACACATACACCTTGAGTTTACATGGCTCACCGGACATGTAGAAGGCAAAGGGCCATCCTCCGGCCACTGAGATGGAGGAGAGGTGACCAAAGAGCAGAGTGGCTACCACAATGCCCATGTACCGGCCACAGAACACCAGCGCCACGAAGGTCGACCGTTCACGCTGGGGCGCCCATCGTGCCACCAGGGCGACCGATGATGGCATACTCAGGCCCTGAACAGAACAGGTTCGGATGTGAATGCAGTTGGTGACTAAGACATTTATTCAATAATGAGCACAAATGCAGGCAGGCAAGACATGGAATACATTAGACATGCACTGGGGTGATTTTACAAATTCCATAGGCATACTGTATATAACACAGGATGAAAGACTAACATAGTGTTACGTGATTTCGTCTGACTGAAAGAGGACATAGTGGGGCATACCCAAGTAAGGTGCCTCAGACTGAGAGTGAAGAAGCCAAGATCTCCTAGGAGACAAGACAAGACAAGAAGTGGACGTTGTCGGTGAGCTGCGTTGTGGCTGCGGACTGACAACTGTTATTTTCCACGTAACATTTTGGTGGAAGTGCTGGGTGCTCTTCTGACAACGGAGCTACGCAGTGGACGCCTCCTTAAGTCTGCTACCATGGCTCCGGGTGAGGATACGGCTTCGCCACCTACCTCAGTAACGACAGCAACCCGGTACGTCGCCCTAACACAACCCCAAGATACCGGTACCTTTACTGGAGAGGACAACGCGAATGTGGACAAGTGGCTTAGCATGTACGAGCGCATCAGCAAGCAATATGGCAGGGACCCAACCGTTATGCTTGCGAATGTCATTATCTATCTTGACAAGACCCCTCGCATCTGGTTTGAGACCCACGAGCACGAAATCACAAGCTGGGAAATGTTTAAACAACAGCTCCGCAACCTTTTTGGCAACCCGTTTGGTCAACAGCTTGATACCCGAAAGCAATTGGCTGTACGTACACAGACGTCCACTGAGCCCTACTTGACTTATATTCAAGACGTCTTAGCGTTGTGTCAAAGGGCCGATCCCAACATGACTGAGGCCGACAAGATTTCGCACGTTTTAAAAGGAATCGCCGACAATGCGTTCAGCCTGATTGTATTTACTAACGTAACGACCATCGACGCCGTGATCAAAGAGTGCCGCCGTCTCGAGCAGGCGAAGAGTCGACGCATTTTGCAGCAGTTTCAGCGCCTACCCAACACCGCGGCAACGTCGTCTTGCGAAGCCACTCCTTGTCATTCGTCTACAACCGAAGACGTGACGTGCATCGTCCGATGTGAACTCGAGGCCGCTTACCCGGCTGCCAACAAACCGACGTTGCCCGACGCCTCAACGCCAGCTGTCGCCTTGATCCAGGCTGTTGTCCGCCAGGAATTCGCTAACCTTGGTATCCTGTCCACTGCACCCACACTGGATAATACTGGTCCCTCGATAGCTTCTGTGGACATGAGACGTCGCCGTCCGTACTCTATTGGAACCAGGAACCCGTCTGAATGGCGAACAGCTGATGATAAGCCAATCTGCTTCCGCTGTGGTCGCGCTGGACACATCGCTCGTTACTGCCGCAGCCAATGGCCATCTATGTCTTCTGGCTCATACCCCGCTTACAGTAACTCATTCCGTCCACCAAACCACCATTATCCGACCCGCACTGAGTCTACAGCATTTACTGCCCCTGAGGACTACGGCCACCCTGTCCCGTCGTCGCCACCGCCTCAAAGCCGCCCTTCTCGTTCAAATACGCGTCGCCGCTCTCCCTCGCCATCGTTCAATCGCCACATGTCCCCGGAAAACTAGGCTGCGCAGCTTCTGGAGGTGAAGCTGCCCTGTCGACCTTACCCAAAAATCCTCTGTTGCCCTTACGTTTGAACCGGAACACCCTAGAAGTATATGTTGATGGCACACCTGTTGAAGCTTTGATAGATACAGGCACTCACGTCTGTATTATGAGTTTGCGTTTTCGTCGTCGCATCAAGAAGGTCCTCACGCCCCCCTTGACCAGTGTCGTCCAAGTTGCAGATGGTGCAAAAGTCCCTGTCGTCGGTATGTGCACAGCTCAACTTACCGTAGCCGGTCATCAAGTGGTCGTCCTTTTTACCGTGCTTGCAACATGTCCCCACGACCTCATACTAGGCCTCGATTTTCTCGCCGCCAATTCTGCTCTGATTGATTGCTCCGCTGGTGTGCTCCGCCTTGAACTGCCACAAATCAGTGCCGCCCCGTACCAACCTACATGCCGATTACAATGCAGCGACTTTGTTCGCCTGCCCTCCAAAACTGTGACGTACGTCGATTTTCTGTGCTCACCAGCTGTGCCCGACGGTGACTATTACGCTACGCCTCTCACCGACATACTCCTTGCGCACAATGTTGCAGTGCCCTATACGGTGCTCAGCATCACAGATAACAAAACTTGTCTACCTCTTGTCAATTTCGGCTACATGAATCATGTGCTTCCACAAGGCATTTCTGTGGCCCACCTGTGTCCGTTGCTCGATTCACAAATTGAAGTGCTTGCCTTAGACACACTTGTTTCACCGCAGCGCACATCACTCGCAACACATTTGGGCAGCCGTCAAATTGTAGACATGATCGCCACTGATCTTCCGCCTCCGCAAGTTGAAGCCCTACGACATCTTCTCGAGGCCTACCAGAAATATTTTCGATTTTGGTGACCAACCTCTTGGGCAGACGTCCTTTGTCCAGCATCGCATACACACAGGTGATGCCAACCCTGTTCACCGCCGTCCCTACAAAGTGTCTGCTTTTGAGTGGAGCATAATTCAGAAGGAGGTGAACAAGATGCTAGCGAAGGACATTATTGAACCATCCTCCAGTCCCTGGGCATCCCCGGTGGTATTAGTTAAAAAGAAGGACGGATCGTGGCAATATTGTGTGGACTATCGCCACCTAAACAACATCACCAAGAAAGACGCATACCCTCTGCCCCACATTGACGATGCCGTTGATTGCCTCCAAGGTGCCGCCTACTTTTCTTCCATCGATCTTCGTTCTGGTTATTGGCAGATTGCCGTGGACCCCATGGACCGAGAGAAGACGGCTTTTGTAACACCCGATAGCCTCTACCAATTCAAAGTAATGTCCTTCGGCTTATGTAATGCCCCCGCCACCTCTGAACGAATGATGGACTCCCTGCTCCATGGATTCAAGTGGTCTACGTGTCTTTGTTATCTGGATGACGTGATTGTGTTTGCTCCCACTTTTGAAGCGCACCTTGAGAGACTGTCGAAAATTCTTGATGTATTCCGTCTCGCCAGCCTTCAGCTGAATTCATTCAAGTGCCGGTTGGGTCGCCGTCGCATTACAATACTTCGACATATTGTTGACGCTTACGGCGTACAGCCTGACCCAGGAAAAGTTCGAGCTGTGAAGGACTTTCCTGTGCCAAAAACCGCCAAAGACGTCCGCAGCTTTGTGGGGCTCTGCTCCTATTTTCGGCGGTTCATCAAGAACTTCGCGGAAATCGCTCGGCCCCTAACAGATTTACTCAAACCAGATGAGACGTTTACCTGGGGTCCCTCGCAAGCAGCAGCATTTTCCGACCTGACCACTTTGCTCACTTCTCCTGTGCTGGCTCACTTCGACCCTACGGCACCGACCGAAGTGCGCACCGATGCCAGCGGTTACGGAATAGGCGCTGTGTTGGCTCAGCGACAACAAGGGCAGCATCGCGTAATAGCTTATGCCAGCAGGCTGCTGTCCACCTCGGAGCGTAATTATTCCATCACAGAGCGCGAATGCCTAGCGCTGGTGTGGGCAGTCGCGAAATTTCGCCCTTACTTATACGGCCGACCATTTATAGTTCTCACCGACCACCACGCTCTCTGCTGGCTCGCCTCCCTCAAAGATCCCACAGGTCGTCTCGCCCGCTGGGCACTCCGCCTCCAGGAGTATTCTTACACCGTAGTGTACAAATCAGGAAAACTGCACAAAGATGTGGATTGTCTGTCACGCTACCTTGTGGCCAACTGCGATCCTACGTCTGTCACGCTACCCTGTGGCCAACTGCGATCCTACGAGCCCCGATTCGGTGGGCTGCGTCCTTTCCATCTCCCAGCTGCTTCATCTCGGGGACGAGCAGTGTCGTGATCCGGATATCAGCCGCCTAATAGAACGGCTCGAATCTTCACCACAAGACGCTTCTGTTCGCATGTTTACCTTAAAGGACCACACCTTATATCGGCGTAATTTATCGCCCAATGGTCACGACCTACTTCTGGTCATACCAAAGTACCTACGTTCCACAGTCCTACGCGAGCTCCATGACGCGCCAACCGCGGGTCACCTTGGTGCCTCTCGCACATATGACCGTGTCCGCCGCCGCTTCTACTGGCCTCGCCTTTCACGCTCTGTACGTCGTTATGTCAACGCTTGTGAAATTCGCCAGCGTCGCAAAAAGCCGTCAGGACTCCCTTCCGGATATCTTCAGCCCATCGACATCCCATTGGAGCCATTTTTCCGTGTTGGTTTGGACCTTCTCAATCCCTTCCCAACATACGCCTCCGGAAACAAGTGGGCCGCGATGGCTACGGATTACGCGACCCGTTATGCAGTTACGCGAGCCATGCCAACAAGCTGCGCTACAGACGTCGCTGATTTTCTACTACGCGATCTCATTTTAGTGCATGGAGCCCCTTGTCAACTGCTGACAGACCGAGGCCGTACGTTCCTTTCGAAAGTGGTTGACGATATCCTGCGTTCCTGCTCTACCCAACATAAGCTCACGACATCGTACCACCCCCAGACAAACGGGCTTACAGAACGTTTAAACCGCACTCTGACAGACATGCTATCGAAATACGTCTCGGCCGACTATTGTGATTGGGACCTTGCACTACCCTACGTGACGTTCGCATACAATTCCTCCCGGCATGACACTGCCGGGTACTCGCCATTTTATTTCTGTTTGGACGCGAACCAACATTGCCGTTGGATACCTTCCTGCCAGCCGCTGCGCAGTCTACTTCTGAATATGCACGCGACGCTATTACCCGAGCTGACCACGCTCGTCAGCTTGCCCGCAGCAGATTAATGGCGTCCCAAGACTCGCAGAAGCATCGTTACGACGAGCGGCATCGCGACGAACACTTTCCAACAGGTTCCCTCGTTCTTCTTTGGTCCCCTACGCGACATGCGGGGCTTTCAGAAAAACTTCTCTCTCGTTTCACGGG